TTCGCAAGTTTTTACCCAACTCTGGTGTCCTGAATATCTGTTGAATACAAAAAAATACTTTTTATAAAATTAGTCAATTTATTAGTCAATCGATTTATGCATGGTGGAAAAATTCACTTTAGCTTAATTTGGCCCCCTAAAAATTAAATCTGGTTGACCAAATTTCATCAACACAGAGGTTAGGCTCTACATAATACAAATGATTCGGGAAAAGCTATTTGAACGAATCAAAAGGGTGTGAAAAATGAGCCCATCGCTTTATTGCAAAATGCATAAATAATATTTATATGAATATATTTTGCATTACAGTGATAGGCAAATTTTTACACCTTTCCAGTGAAGTTATATTAAATATATATATATATGTAGATAGCTTTATTTGATTTAGTGACTTCTCCTAACCATCAACCATCTTTTTTTGGCATTATGGACAGAACACCGAATCATGATGCAAACAAACCTATTTGGCCACTGTCCATTGTCTATTTTTTGTAAAACATCTATATGGAGCTTCACAGTTACAAAATTATAACGACCCGACGATTGGCCATTAATTGCATTAATAGTAATAAGTTTAAAAACAAATGCACAAGTCTAATGGGAACGTGCTATTTAAGTGAGTGTAAGTTATATAAGTATATATATATATATATATATATATACACACACACAATTCTTTTTTATTTTTTTTATTATTTATATGTTTTTTAATTGTATTTTCACACTAAGGTCAAGTCCAGGACTCTTGTTTGGTGCCTTTGACACCCAAAAAAGACTTACCTTTGCATCACAGATACAATATCACACCAGGGGAGCCTATACAAAGTGTGTAAGACATTAATCTCCCCCGCTTCCCTGCATGGGGCATTTGTTACAAATGTCCTAATTAAAGGGCCTGTAAGATAACCCTGCATATGAATGTCATTCAAATGGTGAATTAGGTGGAGAATGATTTAGTAACTAGTATTGATATGACAGACATGTTAGTACTTAGCACCGACAAAGAGAAAAAGAGTAAATGCATTGTGTCTGGCAGCAAAGGAGTTAACTTATAAACTCGCCATTCTAAAAGCGTTATATGGTTGACTGCCCCCACTTTCAGAGCATCTTAGATAGTTGTCGCCTAGTGGGTCTGCAGAGCATCTTCGTCCTATGCTCTCCCTTCTATCTGCTCCTGTAAGGACACCTCCTGCACCGCTGGACACCCCGCAGTGACAATGCTTCTGAGGAAGATTAGCTTTTCCACAAGAGAGGACCCATTAGAGCCGTGCAATAGACTATCACTTCCGCTAGAGAGGCCCACAGATGAGATATTGATCGAGGTGACCCCAGCAAGCCTGACAGGTTTACAGATCAGCTAGGCATTTTGGAACATTGGTGAAGAGATCGTGTTGGCCCAAAGCTTGAATCCTGTTCTATTAGGTGTCTTGGCAGAAGCTCTGAACTGACCTTTGAATCACAAAATTTCTGAATTTGAGGAAAAAAAGAGATGTCTTTTTTTCAGGAGGCAAATTTGGGGATATTTAAAAAAAATCTTTTTCAACTGCATCTGTTATTTCCATTTGGAGGTGATTTCTTAAACATTTTCAAATTATTAGTGAGCTACCGCCTTTATTTTGCCTCTAAATTGGCTCAGTTCACCATGAGTTATTTTTTTTGGACTTTGCTACTGTTGGTAACTGTGATGGGTTTAATCCTGAATGGGGCTTTTCACTAATCTCCAAATTTCCTGGATTTGAGAGCAGATTCCTGTGATCAGCTTGGAGATGATCGCGCTTTATTCGCTGCTGATACTCTCAGCCAATTTACTAGCTTTGAAGGGCTTAGCTCAGAAGAGCTAACAGAAACTCCTATTTATGAGCTTTCGACTCTCCATAATAGACACTGGAATAGCAGATTGGTGTTAAGTGCCCAGATAAGAAGTCAAGCCATTCTAAAACAATTTGATTCCTCACAATGGTGGGGCACAAGGATACTTGCGGCGCTATAGTGGTTATGGTAATTGGAGGGTTCTTTTAAATAGGATTTGCCACTTCTCTGAAAATCACAATGGAGTAAAAGGCTGTGCCACCATTAGTTAGCTATTACTAGCATGCTATGTGTACTAATGAAAGATGCTAATTATGCACATAATTGACATTAGCAAGCCCGTTCTGGCTGATTCTGGGCTGGATGGTGATGTTCCAGAGAGGAAGTTACGCCTATGACAGCAAAGGGGGTTAGCTCTTCATGTGAAGCATTTCAAACTGAAATAATTTAAGTGGTCATGGTGTTTAATGTGGCTCTAGGCCAGTGGCGGATCCAGAGCCTGATCTCGGGAGGGGCACTTGTAGATTATTTAAATAAATAATCCAGACACAATAACCACTACAGCTCAGTGTAGTGGTTATGGTGTCAATAGTGCCCGGACCCCTCCCAGAGTAAGTAGTCAAACCGTTTAAGAACAGTTTGACAACTTACCTGAGATCTGCAGGGAAATGGGGCAGTAGTAGGGCATAGGAGCAGTGGTGTGTGTGAGTAGTGCAATGTGTAAGGGGTGCAGTGTGTGTGTGTGTGTGAGGGGGACAGTGTGTGAGCAGTGTGTGTGTGTGAAGGTTGTAGTGTGTGTGAGGGCGGCAGTGTATGTGTGTAACAGTTGCAGTGTGTGTGTGTGTGAGTATTGCAGTGTATGTGTGTGTATGGGACGGCAGTGTGTGTGTATGGGGAGCAGTGTGTGTGTATCGGGTAGTGTATGTGTGTAGAGTGTGTGTATGGGGGGCAGTGTGTGTGTATGAGGGGCAGTATGTGTGTATGGGGGCAGTGTGTGTGTATGGGGGCAGTATGGGGGCAGTGTGTGTGTATCGGTAGTGTATGTGTGTAGAGTGTGTGTATGGGGGCAGTGTGTGTGTATGGGGGGCAGTATGGGGAGCAGTGTGTGTGTATGGCCAGTGTGTGTGTATGGGGGGCAGTGTGTGTGTATGGGGGCAGTGTGTGTGTATGGGGGAGTGTGTGTGTGTATGGGGGGGCAGTGTGTGTGTATGGGGGCAGTGTGTATATGGGGGCAGTGTGTGTATGGGGGCAGTGTTTGTGTATGGGGCAGTGTGTGTGTATGGGGGCAGTGTGTATGGGGGCAGTGTTTGTGTATGGGGGCAGTGTGTGTGTGAATGGGGGCAGTGTGTGTGTGGGGGGCAGTGTGTGTGTATGGGGGCAGTGTGTGTGTGGGGGCAGTGTGTGTGTGTTGGGGGCAGTGTGTGTGTATGGGGGGCAGTGTGTGTGTGTTGGGGGGCAGTGTGTGTAGAGTGTTTGTGATAAGGGTAGGGGGGGCTTTTTTTTTAATAATATATATTTTTTTTATTTAATTCAATATAAATATTCATTATGTCCCCCCTCCCTTCTTACCTTTATTGAGGAGGATTTCTTAGTCCCTGGTGGAACCAGTGGTGATTCCCTGGTGGTCTCAGTGGGGAGCGCTCCAGGGCTAGAGTTCACTCTCGCGAGATTTGGAGCGTTGCCGTGGTAACCGCGGCAATGCTCCAAATCTCACGAGAGGAGGACCCGGAGGAGCTGCAGCCTGAGCTTCCGGGTCCTCTCTCTCACTCCCTCCCTCCCGCGCCAGCCACCAGCACAGTGCCTGCTGACCAGGGAGGGAGATCTCTGATCTCCCCTCCGGTCCGCAGGCACATTGCAGGGCTAGCACCTGCATGTGCTGGGAGCGAGAGACCGGCAGATTTCTCTGGGGGGGCAATTGCCCCGTTGCCCCCGCCCTGGATCCACCACTGCTCTAGGCACAGAATTTGGAAAGTGTGCCACTACAAACTCAACATACATACTCAAATACACACATAATTTATAGCCTTTCCCTGGACGGCTGGAGTTTATCCTCTCCCTGGTGGCCTGTGGGCCTCCTAGAATCTTTAAAAAAAATAAATAAACCAAAGCCTGGTGCATGTTTGGGGGAGGAGGGAAGGGTGGATTATTGCATTTTCTTTAAATTATAATTTACCAGCTCCACCCTCTGGTTTCCCTTTTCCAACAGGAAATGAGAGACAATCCTGAAAACCTAGCTGTACATTGCTCAGAAGCCACACACACCTATGGAATGGTGTCACAGACTGCCATTTCGTTGATTGACACAAATTAATAAAAATGAGTTGTCCAAGTAAATGGAAACGTCCACTGACCTAATTTTCCTTTGTGAAAAAACACTAATGAAGCCACAATTTATCTGTTCTTAGCTGATCGATTCCAGTAACTTTTAGCCATACACAGGCCCTAACAGGCCATTGAAAAAACAGGCAAATTCTTGATGTGAATTGTATGGCGCTGTGAGAGTTAAATTATTATACATAGATTGCTTTGACAGTGATAGGACAGCCAGGAAGACAGGTTTATTTATAATATAAAAGATTTAGATCTAAAAGCTAACTTTTTGTCAGCTGACAGATTTTCCATATCTGTTGTGACACTTTAATTTCAATACCGTTTAGTAATCTCTATTTTCACTGTTGTTCTACGGTTAAAATACAATTTTACTGCAATGAACACATTCAAAACACAGTGGGTACTATTTTAAGCATATTAACGTATATTAATATGTTAATATATATGTCAGTTGCTGATTCAGACAATTAAGTATACAGAGCCCACTCAAACTATACGGTGAGCTACACTTAATATTAAGGTATTTTTAGCACATTCTGGTATATTTTACAATCTATTGCAATTTTACCCTTGTGAATATTTCCTTATGATTCTTTGTAAGAATTACTCAGTAAAATGATTTATTTTTATTTCTCAATTATTATTTGATAGCTACAAAATTACGTATATAACCAATTAAAGAGGTAAAAATAATTAGGGTTATATTTCAGACCTTATTAAAGAGGTAAAAATAATTAGGGTTATATTTCAGACCTTACACTTCAACAATCGGAAAGTTAAATGTATAACTATTATGTAATTATGTTTGTATTAAATATATATATATAACGAAATATAGAAAACAAACACTTCACAAGATGTCCAGTGGATGTAGCATTTTATTTAATCTATTATGTAATTCATAAGTATATAATTTACATATATAGAATACAAGTCTACATACATCCTAGCTGTAATAGATATTCTTTACATATAGTGTGTTGAATATGGTTTTAAACATATTTTAGATATCACCAGTTTCACATCCTTTAGAGACTATGAAAGATAATTTGTAAGTATGAAAACTATGGGGAAAAGAACATAAAACACTGGTTAAAAATGTAATAAACGTATTCTCTTTAACACTGCAAATTTCAAAGACATTAACAGCACATTCTATATCTGTAGGCTCGATCTCGTGTTTATTAAGTATCAACCAATTCCACAACCTCTACACAGCGAGTTTGATTTCTGACAACTGCAAATTCTTGTCGCACATTTCAAAAAGACGTGTATGACATATTATAAATATATAAATGTATATATTTTTTTTCTGTGTTCGTCTGTCATGACACACATGCCGGGAGTTGACGTTTCTAACCGGAGAAGTGAAAGTGGTCAGAAAACCGTTGAAAAAGCAGCACTCAGCTGCGATTTAATGTATATATATGAAAAAAAAAAAAAAGTAGAGATCTCTAACAATCACAGAATTCAATCAAACCCCTTGGAAGAAACAGCAGCAAAGTCAAATAGAAAAGAATGTGGTTGTCTAATCAGCGATGTGTTTTGATTTGCAAAGCTTTCATTTTATTTGTGCTGCCGTCTTCTTCTGAACGCGATGATATTCCTTTAACCTATAAAGCAACGGAGGCAATGTTGGGCAGAGAGAAAGAGAGAGAGGAGAAAAAAAAGGACAATGTAACAGATGTCCGTATCCATTCAAGTAACGCAATGTCAGAAGGTCAATGCTGTTTGTTAATATGTTGAACAATCGCTTTTATTAAAAGAGACCTATGAAATATGCACATTTATTCATTTCTTTCTAATAATAACCATATTTACCTTAGATGATGGTAAATGGGGAGGGTGGGATGGGTACTGTAGATCACCAATGAATCAAAAGCTTTTCAATAAGCCAATTAAAAACAAAAGAGTCTGTGTGTCGATGCTGAAGAGCCTTGTAAGATGTTGTTAGAACAGGCTTTTTAATAACAGGTAGAAGGCAAATTGAGGGCATTCTTGCATTTGTATAATAAGCCGGGGGCTGCTAAATACTACCAAGCACTTGGAAGGTTAAATATATATTTTCTTACTTGTTGCAAACAATTTACAGTGATTGATAGAGAGTGAAGAACAGTCTGTATATTGTATATTTTATTAAGTTATGCAAGTGCAATTGCAGATATTGATATATATTGTGCTTATGAACATGCATGGAAAAATGATTGATAGGGTGGCCCAGTAATCATCTCCTCAATAATCTTATTGTAGAAGGAGGCTGTCCTATCTATGATCTCCTAAATAGAAAGCAGGCAGGCCATTTACATTAGTGGCTGATCTGGGCTGTGGGTGGGCAAGGCTAATCTCCTTTCCTTTTCCTTGAAAACAAACCTTTTAAAAGAACATAGCTGACCCCACCAGTGTGTCCTATAGATGTCCTAGTTAAATAGGTGTATCCTCCTCCATGTGCACTTTAAATATTATATTGAAAGAGCTTTACTCACCCTTTTCCAGAGCTGAGGCTCCCATGGCGTTGCTTACCTCTCTTCCTCTTTCGACATCATGGAGGAGGCATGGGCTCATCCAGCATGTTCCAATCCAATGCTCCTCATAGACGAGAATTGGGAAGGTGATGCGGTCAGTGCCTTAGAAGTACCTCTAGTGGTGGCCAGAAAGACAGCAACTAGAGGTGGCTTTAACCATGCAATCTTAACCTTGCAGTTATTAAAAAATTGCAAATTTGTGCATTCTAGGTCTAAATACCAGGACCACTGCACCCAGACCTCTTCCTTGAGATGAAGTGTCCTGGGTGACTTTATTGCTCCTATAAGAAGATGCACAGAAATGATCTGTAAGACAATTCACAGATGCACAGAATTGATCTGTGGACAGATCCACACTTTTCCATGCTGGACTTTATTTTAACACGTGTGGGCCCTAGGGAGAACTTTTAATGTTGAGCTCCTTTTACAGTTTGTTCCAATCCTAACCAGTGGTGGAACAAGCTTAATGGGGGCCATTATATAATTAATCATACTGTACCTCTTGTCTTAGACCCGCTTTCATTTTTAAAAATCTTTTCTACTGCAGACCCCATTTTTGGGAGGCCTGTCTGTGTTACTCTTTCCATTTTATGGTTGGGTCCTAGGCAAATTCCCATAGCGTCCCTTGGTTAAAGTAGCAGGGAATCACTTTTTCCCAGCACACACATCACCTAATTCCTATCTCAATTTATCTTTTGAAATCTTTGTAACTGGTTTTATGTCTGGTGCAGAAACCAGAACAGGGCAATGGTCAAATGTTCGATGTAGTTTGGAGCAGATATTCCTTAATTCTACTAATTATTTACACACAATGGATAAACGTGCATTACAGGTATACTGATTCTTCGATATTTTATGTGATGCTGATTTCACAATCCTTGAATCTGCAGCAGTTAGTTATCTATGGGTCAGAAATGACCCCATTTTGCTCAAGACGTTTCTCTTACCTACCCTACCAGCTTTACCGAGTATTTTCAGATAGTTATTGGAATAGCTGTACTATCTACTTAATCCTTGCAGCAGTAAATTCTATTTGAAGCAGGACTGCCTTTAGAGTGAGAGTGTGAGTGTGAGTAAGCGTGTGAGTGAGAGTGTGAGTGAGAGTGTGTGTGTGTTTTTCCACTAAAGTAATGATTTTTGGAAATTCAAAGTGCATTTCAAATTTTAGCCCAAAATAGTAAAGCTGGAACAATTCTCCATGTCTGCAATAGTTTCGATTATTTTGGCGTAAACATTGAACTTCACTTACAATTTTCATAAATGCTCACTTTTGGGAAAAAACCCTGAGCATAATCCCAGGTAAAACAATTATTGATTATGGATATGTTTAGCCTGAGAAAAGCAGCACTATGAAGCAGGACCCCGTCAGACTTTGTGAAAGGGAAGGAGGGACAGAATGGAGATTGCTGAAGATTTCACGAAGCACTTCAACCCATTCTCTTTATGAAAAGCTGATGGTTAAAAAGCTGTAATACACAGATAGAAGATTTCCTTTTACCTGACACTATTAATCTTGATGAATCCAGAGGCGTCTGCAGGTTCGTAATCTCCTTGTACATCCATGCTAAGAGGAAGAAAGAATGAAGCATTCAGTGAGTGGGAGAAAGGATGCTATCTACCGCAAGTCAATTGATATAAAATGTATATACCTATGGTTTTATAGAGATAGCTATTTTGCGCATAAGATACTATTCAAAGACATAAGTAAACATCCAATTTTATTGCACCTTCGCTGCAAGCATGGTCTCTTTAAGGGTATGTAAGTCAGACTAAATGTATCGGTTTTAATTGAGATTTTTCTGCTTAGATATGTACCGACTGCTACATATTAGACTGACACCTGCTTGTGGGAGATTGTGGCAGCAGCAGTGGACACAAGAGTCCAAGAAGAGGTGCTATGGCATTATATGAATCCTTACCCCCCCAGACCATTGGCAGTGCCATCAGACAGTCACAAGAAGATCGGATTGGCTGTTACAGAAAACAGTGCCCATTCTATCTGGTGGACACACATGTTTGTATTTGTGGAGCTTATGAAGTGCGTTACCCACTCGTGGGCATAGATTCCGCGTATCTACTAAACTTGTAGAGAAACGTTTCCTACTATTTCACCAGAAAGAACAGCTATTAATGATTCAGTGTTAAAAGCAGGCAGCGTCGTCAACATCTGGAATATAAAACATTTATACTCATTTTGGTAATTGTATAACATTCATACTCCTAGTCCGTATGAAACATACCCTAACCTAAAAGTGGATGCTCCAGATGTTTAAGACTGTAACTCCCATTACTCTGGAAAGGCTGGCTGAGAATGATGAGTATGTCTTTTGCAGAATATAGGCACAGACCCTAACCCCTGGATAGCCATATAGACAATGGAGAGGCCGTTTAACTAAATTGACGGGACTTACTGTCTACATGTGTACCCCTTTAATTAATACATGTTGACTGCATGTATACCCCCTTAATTAATGTGGATAAACCTCAAATACAGATTTTAGGGTTAAGGTTAGCCCTTTAAAAAGATCAAGCTCTTATAAACAGTGTTACAGTGATGTTGCGTTTTTGCAGTTGTTCTAATGACTCACAATATCATGAACATGCTATATTAATGCCAGTATTTTCTTTGGATTTTTTTAACCATAACCATCACGTTTTACTTCACCTATCGCCATATTTTTGTGATATTCCTTCATCACTACTGAGCCTCTCTGGGTTTCTCTCGACGCACTTTCCTCACCTATTCTCTTTAAATTCTCCTCCACTCCTGCCTACCCCATCGCCACCCCAGGGCCCGTCCGTCCCTGCTCACTCCCCACGCACTCTTAATATCGAACTGAAACATGGGATTTGCAAAAAAAAAAAAACTACAGCCTAGAACTGCCTGCAATCTGCAGCCCCTCCTCAATACAAATTACCACCATCTTTAAATTGTAAGAAGCGGAAAAAAAAAAAAGACGACTTTAGAATGATTTTACCTCCCTTGACGTGAAACTAAAGTATGAAGCAAAAAAAAGGAGAAAAAAAAATTGAGAGAGAAGAAAGACTGGTGGCTTTTATTTTTGTTCATTGAAGTGACTGTGACCTGCTCTATAATTACGTTACTTTATACCCACTGCGCGGAGGCATTTCCACCCTGAGTTAGTTCTCGCAGCTCACTCGCTCCCCCTGTTTCCCGTTATTCTGTCATTCAAAAGCTTTCAAACTAGCAATGCAGAAATGAAAAAGAAAAAAAAAAAAAGAAAAAAGGCAAATGGTTGGAGACACAGTGAGTATAAAAGCATAGAATTCTCCTGCTTGCGTTCACTTTAGCTTGTTTTTTTTTTCCCTTCCTTTTCACTTTATTCATTGAGTCTCCCTGAGTGAGACAGAGTGACATAATGAGGGGGGTGGATGCAGTTTCAGAAGATGTTGATTTGGAAGAAGAAGGGAGGAGAAGAGAAGGGGGGGGCATGCATGATTGGTGGGGGGATTATATCTGATTTATCCTGTCCCGTCAAATTGATCCGGATGAAATAAGATGGATTAACTAGCAAACACCAGGTACCACGCAGAATGAAAATGGCAAAGGGAATTTTAAAGTTCTGCCATACACATTTAGAAAAGCCTTTAAAATTATACTTCTAAAAGTCATAACTATAACAAAAATATTGGATATAAATAAGGCAAATGCACAGGGGCTAATATAGGCCCAATTATATTGAACTTGGTATTTATAAAAATAAACAAGAAATGAAATGCATCAAATTGCGCTAAGTATTCAGAACATTTCACTTCCAAATTTAGGAGGCAATAGGTTAGCACCCAATGATAATGATAATGGTGGAGTGGGGCAGGGTGGGGGTTGATTTTGGCGTGGAAGGGGGGAAAGTTTTTCTAGATTATGAATGGAAGTTAGTGAGTCTATTCTTGAGAGGTATTTGGATATAGAGTTCTGTTTTGCAAGGTTGCCGTGAGTTCAATGCCACCTTGGCGTGCCGGAAACACTGTGTTGTCGAGGACACGTCACTTAGACATATTGATGGGCAGTACATGAAACTGACCTGGACTGATCTGAGAGACTCGGGCCCCACAGTCTCAATGTGAACATATATAGTGATTATCCATAGATATATATATACCTGCAGGCGACTGGCTAACTGTACACTGCAGAAGGCCCAGCACACAGTCTTCAATTTACAGCTCATCTCTCTCTTACTCAGAACTCTAACTCTCACAGCAGTTGGAGTCAGGAGCAGCTGGGAAGTGAAGACTAAATGAGCTGGGCCCCTCTGCAGTATACAGATAGCCAGGGGGGCTGCACAATGCCACAGGACCACCAGTGAATGTAGTCTCCCCCTCCCTGGCCACAGGTAAAAAGCAGGGAGGGGGGAATAAATTACATCATGTAAAATAAAAATTTTAAAATTCTTTTTTGTTCCCACAGAATTCAGCTCCTATTATACACAATATTTACACACGATACATATACTCTGCATTCACTATACACACACTGCATCTAATACACACAAACACTGCATTCATTACACAAACATACATTCTGCATCCACTATCCATACTGCGTCCGCTATACACACACACAGACACTACATCCACTATACACTCTTCATCCATTACACGCACCGCATCCACTTTACGCACACACGCACACACACCGCATCCACTTTACACACCGCATCCACTTTACACACACCCCATCCATTACACACCGCATCAACTTTACACACACACACACACACACCGCATCCACTACACACAAACTGCATCCTTGTGGGTGGACTCAGGGTGGGCTCTGTGTGCAAACTCAGAGGTGGGCCCTGAGGGTCCAGACGTTGAGCTGTTTTAGGGGCCCCAACATTTCTGATGGCAGCCCCATCTCAGGTGATAGGGCAGGGCATGCTTACCTGACCAGCTCCTCATTGTACAGGGACTGGGGGGACTCTCTGCCCAGGATATACACCTGTCCCCTTACAACAGACAGCTGCACTTTGCCTTCCACCAGCTCTTGGGACTTTGCAATACAGCCGCGCACATACTCGCACTCTGGGCTGAACCAGAAACCTAAATGCAAAAGAAAATTATTACACTCCAAGAATTAGCACTGCAGTTATCACTCTAATATTACCCCAAACATCTCTCTGGGATCAAATCCCCTTTATTTCTAATCTTGACTCCCCACTCTTGCAGAGGGGTTACATTTTATATTCTACAGAGCTCAATAGATCCTCTTATTACAATGCTTTAGGATAAAACATTTCTGTTAAGTAACTAAAGTTAGGAATTCCAAATTCACCATGCTGTACTGGGCACATATCCATTCAATATGCGGAATACTGTATGAGACGTGCTGCCATGCATGATGTATAATCATTACACTGTAGGTAGGCTGGGTTGGCAGTGAGTCAAGGGTTGAACATGCATTCCTTAATTTGTTTGTTGAGCTCTGACTTGCAGCATATGAATCCCACATAGTGCAGTGCAGTTCAATTCATTTGCTGACCATCAAATGCCCAGGAAAACAGAGGTGCTGGGTTTCTATTGCTAGTCTACTTCTGATGCCCCCACTTTATTTGGATTCAACTGTCCATGTAGCGCATGACCCCCCTGATCACTTAGGGAAGTGATAAGACTCTTTCCTTCATGGGTATATGTCAAATTCCAGTGTTTACAGAAATAAAAGGTGGAGAGTCTTACTAACAGTGTATATTTTGTTTCATAGCAAACAGGGAATTACTATTATTTTTAATTATATATTATACTCTACAGAAATGTTGAAAGTATTCTAGAAACATAGAATGTGACGGCAGGTGAGAGCAATTCGGCTTATCTAGTCTGCCCAATTTTCTAAATACTTTCATTAGTCCGTGGCCATATAATATAGTTATGATAGCCTTATGCCTATCCCACGCATGCTTAAACTCCCTCACTGTGTTAACCTCTACCACTTCAGCTGGAAGGCTATTCCATGCATCCACTACCCTCTCAGTAAAGTAATACTTCCTGATATTATTTTTAAACCTTTGTCCCTCTAATTTAAGACTATGTCCTCTTGTTGTGGTAGTTTTTCTCATTTTAAATATAGTCTCCTCCTTTACTGTGTTGATTCCCTTTATGTATTTAAATGTTTCTATCATATCCCCCCTGTCTCGTCTTTCCTCCAAGCTATACATGTTAAGTTCCTTTAACCTTTCCTGGTAAGTTTTATCCTGCAATCCATGAACCAGTTTAGCACTAGAAAGCACTAATACAATGTAGTCTTTTATTTGGCAGTTCAGTATGTCTACAAAAGCTATAAGGCATTAATGGCTAATGTAGTTGTTTGGTTGGCAGAGCATAATGTGAGTTTTGATCATCAACGCAATAGGGGCTTGATATACTTTGCATTCTTTAAAACAGTTTTTGTTATCTCAAAATACACAGATCTAAATAACCAGACATATAATTTTTTGGGAAACGGTTTTGGGGTATAAGAAAGAGACTGAAACTTTTTATTAAACGGAAAGCAATCTGTGACTTGCTCGGAACTTGGCAAAATGGCTCATTGTTTCTGGGGATCTGTAAGCGGCATACAATGATACTGCTTTTATTTCTTTTTTTCCATCCTATTTTGTGCCATCAGATCCTATTCCTGCTGAAACTCCTTGATAAAAGACGCCAGGCTGCGGGCTGACCTTGTGACTTTATCAGGGTCAGGAATCAGGGTCCATATGTTTTGCTCTGTACAGAAAACTCCTGCCAGGTGATCTCACCTTCCACTGTATTCTACTTAGGTAACATTAGTCACTGAAGGGGGAAGGTCCAACTTCACTCCACTCTGAGGGCTCTGAGAAAGTAACAGCAAGGCACATCTGTCCCTGAGACTCCAACAGAGTGCCTTTTCCCTAGGGCTGTACTCATTTTATCAAAAAGGAAACTCAACTACCTAGATCTTACACCAAACTATTAGAAAGAGACTTCTGGGCTCTCAGAAAAGTTAACAAAGGGGTTTACTCACTAAACACTGAACTAATAAACAAACGGCAAACATCTGGCTAATATAGTTGTGACTATAGACAATTTATCCAAATCATCTAATTTGGCCTCAATTTTGCAATCTGGTTCTCAATAAGCTGTGATTTGGTGTTTAGTGGGTGTTATATATGAAAATGGCTAAATATTAATTAATTTTAGTTTTTCCTCCAATCTCACTTTGTATGCTTCATAAGGACATTGAGCTAAAATCCCTATCTGGTGTTTTACACCTCTTAGTGAAGTCAGATTTACTGTAACTGTATCTGGTCACAAGATTTAGGGTTCTAAACCTCTTATAATGCTGACTGTGTGCTCAATTAGCTGTGTCAATAATGTGATAGCCAGTCCATAGTAATGAGCCATTTACCTTATTAGAGAGACCTCAGGTGGAATAAGATGAACCTACATTTTAAGGAACATAGCACGATGAACCCCATATAGTAAGGCACGTGCTATTAAATGGGTTTTTGAAGTGGTCATGGTGCCTGAAGTCTGTATGTCCTGTTTTTCCCTATGAAGCACTGCAATACGGAGATAAACCCCCTTTGATGACAGAGCTGTAACTCCACCTCTGGCAACATCATTGGGATGTCATTAGCCGTCCTGTGCTGCCTAGTGTCAATTGGGTGCATATTTCTATGCACAGAAGATCATTGATTGGCTGAGGGCGAAGATCATTAATGGCCGTCAGGATCGACATCCGGCTTCTGCAAAATGGTTTGCCCCATTACCAGGGAATGCCATCAGGGTACTCCTAGTACCACAACCACTAAAATGGGCTGATTTTGATGCTTGGAGTAACCCCTTAACTTGTTTAGTGTGTGAGAGGGGTTGAATGTGTGATGTAAAGTCTGTTCCACCCACACTCTATACATTACACACATATTTATACATGACACACCTACTTCAAGGAGTTCTTTTTATAGAATAGAGGCGGATTGGATTCTGCTTATGTGTGTTTGAGATATCTTAATCTAAAAGCACTGCCTTAACTGAAAGTACATTTTATGACTGCTATGAATGCCCAATGTTTTTGTTTTTATGGGAATTCTTAAAATAATGTAAAATTTAAATGTAAGCATTAATGTAGATATGTAACCAGGGATAATGTTCTCGGAAACTGTAGGTATTTTTTTTTTTTTTTTATAAGTCACTACAACCGGCTGTTCTAGAAGTGTTGGGCACCCTTTGTATCTCTAACCTACTCCAATTATGTTTAGCCAGTCAACAGCAATCTAGGCATAATCTTACTCTTACCTTCTATATGTAGGTTGTAGAATTGGGTATACATGAGCTAAGATTGTTCACGTCATCTTATAACAAATTCTACACTTCACAGCAAGTAAGCTTTGTTCCAATGGCCAGGAACATGGCTGCCTACGCAGGCATTTAAGGAAAGCTAGTTATTAACAAAATTTCAGAGTTCCAGAATCACTTATGCCAACTCAACATATCCTGGTGGTTATTGCAGACTATTTAAATGTATAAAACCATTTTAAATCATAAGGTTCTCTTTACCTTAAAGTCTACATATTCTGTATCAAAAAGCCACATCTAAGAAAATAGACTCGTTGTCTACTAATACATTGGAATGTCTAGGTGAAAATAGCCAACTAGGAATAGTTATTTCCTAGCTGCTATTTTGGCCCAAATTTTCCAATTTAATTAACAATTCAACGCATATGTTTTCTTTTATATATTAACATCTATATGGCCTAATACATTCTGGGAGTGTAAAACATGACAAGATTTTTATTTATTTTTTTCATCTCTTTTTTTCTCGAGTTCTACAAAGTTTATTTTTCCCATTTGAGGTTAACATACCATTGTAGACTTGTTCCGAAAATCTCTGTGAAAGCTGCTGCTTGATTTTCCGCACCTCTCGGTCCATGGTAAACGTCTCAATGTCTAAATGAGCGTGGTACAGTATGGTTCCAGCCGGCGTCTCGTAGATACCTAGCCATTTATTTTTTTTCAATGCAAGAGGAGGGAGGAGAGGGGAGAAAAAGGGATACATGAGGCTCAAATTGCTATCAAATGACACCATTAATGAGGCTTGTGACAGCAGAACTGCAGTCGGACTTCATTCAGGCCCAGCTTGCAGCAGAGTGTATATGTCATTACCACCCTGCTGGGGGCAAAGACAGACCACTTCGCACCTTGTGGTGAAAATGTCTAGATTCCTCTTTTTTGAAGAGGCTGAAATGACAGGTTTCAGGAACTGATCGTTCCACCGTCGCTAGCCTGCCGGACTCCCGCAGAAAGGCTGTAATTAAAGCTAGAGCACAGGAAAAGAAGCATAGCCGAAAAGGGCCTTTAAATACCAGTTCCCTCTCTCCCCCCTCCCTATCTCCCCTCCCTCGTTCCCCCCCACTTCACTCTCACTTTCGCCCAAGCATAAGCAGCAAGAAAATAATAATATTTAAAACAAGAAAAATTGGAGTGCTGGAGACTCTCGGGGTGAATGAGAGCTCTAGAGGAAGGTAAAGCTAAAAGTATAGACAATCATTCTGCTCGTTTATCAAAGCTTTCTTTTCTACGCAAACAGTCAGTGACATTCTCAAACTGCCCAAGAAAGGGTGGTCCATATTGGTTAAGCCCCTAACTTGAAAGGACGTGTTTTGTTCACTAAACAGTGAATTGCGGAGTGACTATTGAGAACTGATTTATGAAGAATGAAGCCTTTGAAGCTGAAAATAAATGAGTTGGACAAAGTTTCCGTATTTAACAAGGCCTAAATGTTGCTGTAACTTGTGTTCTTAATTCTGAGCAATTTACTGGTTAATGAATGAACTCATTAGTGTCATTTTCTGACAACGGGGTTACAAATGCATGAAAAATAGAATGATTACAATAAACATACAGGTCAGTAAAGACTGCTGCTACATTGTCAATTTATCTCCTATATTGGATTAAAATGGTCCAAAATGTTTAAACATAGTAGCATAGTGTTTTTACCAGGATGGACATATTAAAGGAAAACTTTCATAACATTTTATATTACTGAAAATAAAAGATGACATATTGCCAGCATGTGCATTATCATATAATAACTCTTTAGTTCATATCCTGGCTTACCCTTGCTCTGTAGGGTATCTTTAGCCATAGTTAGCTCACTGGGTCAGAAGCACAACTTACCAGGCTTTGAAGGCCTGAAACCATCACAGAATGCATTTTTGAGATGCCCTTTGCCTGCTCATGATATCAGGATGCATAAATGCACACTAGCTCTTGATTTCCTGCATGATTTTTTGTTGGGTACGTTATGTTTCTGACCAAAGAGTTTTAAAGATGGCTGCCCCCATAGGGCAAGGTAAGAGATGCACAAAAAAAATCTTTACTTAAATAAGTGTATTACAAAATAAAACACACAGTACTTTAATGCATGTAATATTTTCTTTTAAATAGTAGGAAAAAACTCTGTTATGTTTCCTTTAAGATTGTCTACCATTTTCCAGTGTTTTATAGAGGTTACTAAGAAATTAAGTTGTGATCATTTTATTGACTTTAACCTATCGGGAATTCAACATGAAGCCTTTAAACAGGTAATAAAAATCCCACAGCTAGTGCATATAAACTCACGAAACAGCTAAGTTATTTAAGCAAATATTGTCACTGTGCCTTTCGCAAGAAGTTCTAAATACTTTTGGTGTGCTGATGTCAGAGGTGGCCTGAATCAGGTCAGTAACTCAAAAATTACAACTACCGAATACGTTATTTTTTCACTAAGACGTGAATCCCTGCAGCCTTCAGCCATGCAACGAAAGTTCAGTCGCACGCAATGTCTTTCTTAAATAAAGTTCACAGCTCATTTTGCAAACAACACTTTGTGGGGTTTATTCAATAATCTCTGAAATTAAGAGATTCCTATTGAAATACTGTACTATTGTAATGCCACTTTTATTTATTTTAAGTTTACTCTTTTTAAATTTATTTGAAAAAAAAAAAAGATTTTTGATTGACACATTTTAGACTAAAGCTGTGACTATAGTGGAGTAACATTTTTTCCAAAACAGCTGTTTTAGCCTAGATGTTGCCATTCGGATTTCAATTTGCTACAATATGGAGTTTATTGAATAACTCTGTGCGTTAGAGAGCAAGGTGCACGGCAGCAGTGAATTGTCAGCTAATCATCCATTTAAAGGTCTTTCCTACCGAGGGCTCCACGCACTGCTGACCTGCAATGACACCTTGAAAGCTTATTAAAGACTATAGTTGTCATCAGAGATCATGTGTTAAGTCAGCCGCAAAACTACCATTTAGGGGGATGGTTAAATCCTTCCCATTTTCAGTGTTTCCAATATTGCTCCCCTGGGAGGACCCTTAAAAAAAATCCAACAAAAACCACTGCCAAGGAAACAAATGTTAAACAAAGGCGTCATCTGCCTAATTATGTTTCCTGCCAGAGTCACCAGGCTGGCAACGCCATATAGCAACCGATAATGTTTATATATCATATGTCACTAAGATACAGACAGTCAAAATGGACACATCACCAAGTGATTATATACGCTAGTAAAAGGAGTAGATGACTTATCAATAAAAGTTTACGTGAAGCATTATATATCCAATATGCATTGTCTAATGCCATTATTTATTTTGCTACTTAGCTCAGCTTTCTAATTGGGTCCCCTTGCAAAATCTGTGACCAAACTAATCAGGCAAAAGAAATTTGAGTTTTCAGCTCTGCTCTTCAGTTAGACATGCTATATGTTATGGGTTGACTACATCTCTGATGCTTTAACAGTGGTCTGGCTGTAAGAGTATTATGAGAGATGAAGTCCGTGAGATATGGAGTGCCAAAGGATACCTATCCCTGATATATATTTTAGTTATGCTTTTAAAAGAAAGACAACTAAACTACACCCAAAGTACCTTCATACCCTGGCAATCTTTGACTAATGGGGTCTGCACCATAACATATTTTATTATCTTCCAAATCTGGGTTAATTACATAACTCCAAAAATAGAGAAGCATACCCCATAGAATATACATTAAAAAAAAATCTCAGGCACTCACTGTGATACGTTCAAAGTAGCTTTAATGGATCCGCAACGTTTCGTCCTGTACACAGGTCTTTATCAAGCTTGATAAAGACCTGAGTACAGGTTGAAACGTTGCGGATCCATTAAAGCTGCTTTGAATTTATCACAGTGAGTGCCTGAGATTTTTTCTTTTAATTACATAACTCCAAACATATGTGGTAAACTAGTGCAATCATCATGGAAATTAATAAAATATACATTCTGATTTTACTGGTATTCTTGGTGATTATACACTTATAAAAATGTGCCCTAGTTCGGTATTCGCTTTACTTAAATACTCATTGAAAGTAAGGTGTTGGTTGAACAACTACACACCGATTCTTCAATGTCCCAGAAATATAGTACACTGGGAGAATAAAAGTAGAACATTGAGAGAGAAACTGATACTGTGCCATCAGACGTAGGCCACTTAGAGGCATAGAGTCGCTAAATCTCTGTACAGCTCTTCACAGAATACTCCACTGCTAGATCAGAAGTCAAATCAGTCCCCATTGGTATCTGCAGGCTCAAGTACATAATAATTGTATTACACTATGTTGTATTTCATTTCAATATAGGTCTAGCCGATTCAATTTTTTTGGTGGAGTGCTAAAGGCAAACTTGCCAGGTTTCTCACGGAGTCTCTGGGTTTGAGCGGAATTATTGAAACTCTGATTGATACAGCTTTTCTTTCTTTCTTTTCTTTTTTTTTAAACAATTCAAGAATTTGCATGTCGTCCTTGCTCAGGGGCCATGCTAACCTTCTTTGTACTGTTCCGATTTTAGTATATGTGCTGCTGAAGTGAGCACTGATACAGCTTTGCTGACAACATGGTAGGTTGATTGGTTACTCCTTCTACTCATTACCTTGATCTAGGCAATCATGGTGATTCCAAACCATTTTAAGGAAGTGACCATCTTTTCCAGATGCTTCCTTGTCCCAGGAAACACCTTTTTTTTTTTAAACATGATACTATTAATTTTTTGTGTGCCTAGGACACCACTTAGAAGTTAATTGGAGAGATCTTACATTCAGGTAATAGGTAGGTCCCTGAGGTGTGTTGAGGACCTTGCTTTAGTAACACAACTTTTGGAAAATTACCCAAGATTATAGTTACTTTCCCCAAAGTTAAACAACACAAGGATGCTCATTATTATATTGGGTCTTCCCAACAGCTGTATTGCCCTGCTACAGTCTGCAATGAATGCTGCCGCCAGACTGATATTCCTCTCACACCTCACCCCTCTATCAGTCCTTACATTGGCTTCCTTTATCCTATATGAGTCAATTCAAAGTACTAACCCATACCTATAAAGCACTGAATAATCTTAGTCCCTCTTATACCGCCTCACAGATCCATAGGTATGCACCTTCTCGGTCTCTCCGCTCTGCCCATGACCTTCTTCTGTCCGCTGCTCGCACCCGTACGGCCAACTCGCGCCTGCAGGACTTCTCACGGGCGTCTCCCTTCCTATGGAATAGCCTGCCTACCGCCATCAGACTCTCCCCTAGTCTTCAATCGTTTAAGAAGTGCCTTAAAACCCATTTCTTTAGGAAAGCCTATGGCCTCCCAGACTAACCTCTACCTCACATACCTGTCTCTTGCTCTCTCCTAAAGGGTAGCACTCTACTCTCTCCTCCAGCTCTGCTTTACTCCCACCTAATTTGACTGCTATTTCCTATGTGTTTTATAGCCCACCTCCTGTAGACTGGAGGTAAGCTCGTTTGAACAGGGTCCTCTTCAACCTATCGTTTCTGTAAGTTTTCTTGTAATTGTCCTATTTATAGTTAAATCCCCCCTCTCATAATATTGTAAAGCGCTACGGAATCTGTTGGCGCTATATAAATGGCAATAATAGTAATAATTATCCCTCAGTTGAGCTGGCCCTGAGTCAGGTTAAATTAATTAATGAAATGACCATACACTCAAGAATTCACACATCTCATATCCACATGGCCCAGCTAACCACTAGTCTGTGCTGCATGCCAATGTCATAAGGCAGTTGTTATGAAGGATTCTGGGAAATTTGATACATTTGCATACAGACATTTCATATAAAGAAAGGAAAAAAAAAACATCACTTCTCTTTCCTTTTCTTTCTTGTAAGTATGATTCCTGTTTCACTCTCAAAGCAAGCTAGAGGATGGGTTTCAATTTTTATTTTATTTTTTTAACTTTCATTTTTTTTTTTTAAAGAATTTCTCTGCTGTGACAGCTGTCTACAGCTAAAAGGCAGCAGGCTGCTAGCACTGACAGAACTGGAGACAAAGTGAAGGGAGAGAGAAAAGCCGCCCTCCCACACTGCCACTATGAAAGGACGCAGTCAAAATCATACACACATACACACACACACAGACACCACCTAGATCATCTGTGTCTATAGGATAAGGAACTGCTGAGTTGTAAAATATACATTCCGGGCTGGAATAGCAATGGATAGTGAAAGTTTGTAAACCCTTGAATTTTACCATTCTGTATTGATATGTCCTAAAATGTGATTAGATATTCACGTAAGACAAAAAGAGTTCCTGAGTAAACAAACATGTACACAAATCATTTTTACATGCCATTATTGTACACTTTGATCAAACGCGGAAAAAGTATGCGAACCTTTAAATTACTCATCTCTATTAAAGTGCTTAATCGGAGTCAGATATTCCCAATAGTTAGATAACCATAAGGTTTAGACTTGAGAGACCCTTCTCCTAAAAAAGATAGTATGGTCTTCATGACACAGGTTTCTGAAGTGAATCAAGCCCCAAGATTCTTAAAGTCTATGAATAAAAAGTTATCTACGGTCAAGTGGCCGTGGAGGATTACAAACCCATTACTGTACAGTTTAGCTTCCACTGGTTTATGACCGGAAACGAAACCCAAGACAACTCTTCATCTTCCCAAGAATGGTTGTCCAACTAAACTCACTCCAAGAGCAAGGTGAACATTACTGAAGGAGGTCACCAAAAACGTAGTCTCCAGCGAAACAGATATGGCTACTCTTCCATCGTTAGAATTCAGTCCACCACTCGGAAGAAACTGAACAAAGTACACAGGAGGATAGCAATAGTAGATAGAAGTAATAGATGTACATCACTCATGATGTACATCTCAAGTATGCCAAAAACCACTTGAACGACTACTGGAAGGTCGTACGTGTAAAGGGAACATTTGGTTGAAATCATTACTTGCAAAGATGGAGTGACCTGCTATGAAATATAAAGGTTTACACACTTTTTCCATTAAAAGGTTCAAGAAGCCAAAAAGTAGGATTTTTCTTTTGTGCTCCCTAATCAAGTTGTCTTTTTCCATGACAATTAATTAGCTAGAGAATCACGTTTTCGAGTCAAATAAATTCTAACAAAGATAATTCAACAGTGTTTGATCTCTATGATGAAAGAAATCTTACATGAAAATAAATTGAAAAAAAAAAACAACAAAAAACAGAAATACAAAAAGAGATCTGCAGCAAATATGGGTTTTTGGTGCCAAAAATTCTTGAAAACACAACTCATTCCAAAAGAGAGCGAGAGGCCATGGGGGCCGCAAATCTGCCTGGGTTTATATAAGACGCTATTATGTCACTTGATGGCTATTATACTGTAAAGAGGAATTATTTGTCTCTCTGCCTAGCGAGAGGTCAAAAGCTATAAATATTTCCACATTTTCTCCCTCCCTGGGTGCCGGGAATTTGACAGCAGTGATTGGCATTTTTGTGGTTTTCAAGCTCTCTAATGTCTAAGAGGCAGCAAAATCAAACAATCTCAGTGAGCAGTGATGGTGTACCATGTCTCCCTATGTGTTACTTAAGGATGGCTGAGCATTTTGGGAAATGTAGTTCAGGAACATCTCACAAAATGTTAAGACATTACTGGCCATGAATCTAGACAGTGTTTTAAAATCAGGAGTATGGCAAACTATGCCTCTCCTCCGATACTCCCAATATTACATGACAGTCTATGACAATATTGTCAGACTACAGCACCCAAAATTTTCAGACTGGGGGGGTTTAGTTATTTACTAAAGTGTGAATTGCTAGGATTTCATTGCCTGTCAAAAAAAGGTCCTCTATTTAGATCATAAGCTCTTGGGACCTATTTTGATATCTGTATAGATATTGCGCCAGCTAGACGTAAACCTGTCCCATCATATAATAACATCAACTGTGAAGCACTTATGAGGTTATTTACTAAACTGAGAATTCAAAGAGAATTTCAAACTCAAGCCTAGAGAAGTCAAACTGGATGCATAGTTGACCTAGAGAGTTTTCAAGTTGAGCTAATTTGACCTTAAATTTGAATGTCACTTCCTGTATATGCAGTTAAAATATAGTCTGGTTGGGAAGTCCTTATACAACGTTAGTCTAACTTTGGCATTACATGTGTTACAGGTCACTCCTGAAATGAAAGGTAAATCGTTTTAAATACGTTTCTAACCAGTTGGAAAATTGTTTTAAAAGTATGTCAAAAATGATGGCGGTTACGTCGACAATTTAAAAATAATTAAAACAATTTTTTTTATATGCTGTTTGTATGCCGTTCACAACTGTTATATGTAATTCTAAAGTTATTAAAGTTCAAAGCTGAACATGTACTTTATATCCTCTAGACTTTCAGCTCGTTTGAGCAGGGTCCTCTTCAACCTATTGTTCCTGGAAGTTTTCTTGTAATTGTCCTATTTATAGTTAAATCCCCTCCTCTTATAATATTGTAAACTGCTACGGAATCTGTTGGCGCTATATAGAAATGTCAATAATAATAATAATAATGACCACCCTGTATATACTACAGAAATGTATTATTATTATTATAACTAGTTGAGAGACAGTCTGTAACTTTTGCTTTTTTATCCAACTCTCTTCTCACTATTTTGTGAATACGTCCGCATGTATAAAGTTCAAAATGTATTTGTTCTTAAAGTTGAGACTCTCTCTCGCTTTCCCTTTTTGATTTAATTTTGATCAGCATAGTAAGGCTGTCCTAGAAAACTCAAGTCGGCTGCCTAATATTGAGACCACAGGGACTGATAAAAATAATCAGAATAATTCTGAGTAACGAGAGCACCAACATGTTCTGCAGCGCAGTATGATGGGAATGCAGAGAGAACCAAATACATTTAAGATGAACAGGTAGATGAGGTAAGCTTCTAGTTTATATATTACGATAGTAACAGGTATGCTTATAAAAAAATGCATTCTACGGGAGTGAAATGGGTAAAAACTGCCTTCTGCACGTTTGACGAATCGTGAATATATTATGTGTGTTCTGAATTAAACAAAAAACACAGCATATGATGATGGTATCGTTATTCATCAGACCTAGGACATAGAATTAACAATATAACTCTGGATTTTACAAAATAGTGGGCTGAAAATTGGGGATTTTTCCAGATCTGCTCTTTTAGTGTAAAATTTGCAGTTCTCTCATTGTCTTCACTAATTTCACTGTAGTGAATAAGCCCCTTTGTGTTACATTTTTAGTAGTGATGCTATTAATTAAAAAACAAAACAAAACAAAAAAACAGCTGTCCACTTGTCTTCTTGTATATAATACCATTCTTCTCATTTTAATAAAATAGTCAGTGTAAATATTGCGCGTTCAATGATATGCCTATTTCTGTCTCCTATTTACAGGGTTAATAAAAAAAAAGTAAAAAAAAAAATCTGAAAAAAAAAATCATTGTTCTTTAGGAAGAATTAAGAGACAAAACATGCTGCTTTTTTGCCTCCTACAGATTTAATTTACTTGATTTAATTAGGCCTCCTTCAGAGCAAAAACCATAATTTGATAATGAGGGTGCAAAACTCACAATGTGAATGAAATCTATTGCAATTTCATTTGCCCCGCGTTTTCTAAGCATAGCATGAGACATTCAATCTATTCTTTTCACTCTTTTTTTTTTGTGTAAGCCAAATATAAAGCACTTCTGCAAGAACGCGGTCGCATTCAGCTGAAGGAATATTTGGACGCGAAAATCATATCTGTGACCTTTTTTTTTAATCCTCTTGAAGCTAAAAGGTGTGTGAGATACACTGCTCAAGGCTCTGGTAGCAAAAGTGTAATGCTTTAGGGACCAAGGTACTGTGACACGTCTTGGTGACTTATTCACTAAACAGTGTGTTTTGGCGTGTTAACCAATGAGTTGTAAAGTTTAGGCTAGAGATCCTAAAATTGGAATATAAAGGAGTAAACGTTAAATTGAACAAAGTTTACTCTTCTGTTATGTATAATTTAGGGTTTTAATAACTCTTCCAGATAAGGGGCTCGACAACCCCAATATATCAAGTATCTTCATTGTTTATGTTGCTTTAGGAACATCGGACCTCTTAATAGGCATGAGACAAAAAAATCAACAGAGTTTATTCACTGAACAGCTAATTCTGGTGAAATTCAGGCTAAAAAAGCCAAGTTGTGACTATAGCCAGGTTCGAGATTTTATTTTTACATTTTTTTTAAATCAACCTTTTTTTGTCTAAGTTTTGCAGCTTTGTTTTTAAAATGTCGCTTGTTTGTGAATAAGCACACTATAGCTTTGTTATGATGATAAGAAAGCTGAAATGGCTTCTATAAGTGCTGTCCAACAGTGACCTTAATGGCTTTTCTGTTACAATTCCCATTAAGCTCTGCCAGCTTACAGACAGGAAAAGTATGTTTTGTTATTGTCATGTGCATATACATATACGTTTTGCATTTACACCGAAGAAGGCCTGGTTTACATCCTAGCAACTACCAGACAAATACATTTTAAAATAATTAATTGTATTTGTTCTGTGGCTTAACCCCTTCTTAACAGTGTGCCAGGACCATCGTGATATTATCGGACAGGCTTATCCGAACATCTTTTTCCAAAGAGATTTCATGTCAAATGTTTTGTGGGCAGGGCATGAAGGGTAGGCAGAGGAAACATCCAAAAAACATCTTATATGGGCAAAAAATGGGCAGGGCTTAGGAGAAAATGTGTTTCTGTAAAAGTGGATAAAAAAAGAAATGTGATTTGAACAGAGGTGGGTAGCTTTACTACCAAGGGGGAAAGACATCCCATGAAATAAAACTGCAACACACAGATATTTCAAGGTATCTTTTAGGTTATTCACTAAGGGGTGATGTGTAGGAATCCAAGGTGAAATCAAAGTGAATTTCAAATTTGAGGTTAAAAAAAAGAGCCAAACTAATAATATGGTTGACATGTGAAATTTTTACATTTGCCTATTGTGGCCTAAAAGGGTCTTTAAATTGTTCACATAGTTGTCTTCTAAATCTCTCTTTATGGACCATTAAGGTAATGAAAGTACTTAGCAACAGAAACAAGTCTATCAAAATATAAAATATAGGCTTACTATTTAAGCATACGGAAAACACGGTGACATTAATTTCCTTAACCCGCTCTTTCCAATACCCCTCGCTCATTCTTGCTCTGCAAAATTAAAGGGACACTGCGGACTCCTAAAGCACTTTAGCTTGCTGCAATGCTTAATGTATGAAGAGTGTATAAGAAGTGGTGGGCAAGCCAAAAAAATCTGGTGAGTAGAGACGTTTAATTTACCTCGAGACTTCATCCCGATGAATCGGTTCTCTACGATGTCAATCCGGCCTACACCGTGCTTGCCTCTGCAAAGACACAACAAATTACCGGTAGTGTCATTTACCAAAATTAAGCATTTTCAATCAAAAAGACAGATAGTGTAACAATAAGGAATTATTTGACGTTGAAAGGCTAAAGACTGATGAACTGTGTGAGAATACTGCTTTCCATGCTGGGTAGCAGATACCTGGCACAGCAGCCCAGCGGGCATAGTAAGTACGAACAAGGTAAAAAAAAAAAAATTAAGCGTGCTTGGGTTTTGAATAAAGAACAAACCAGCAAAGTCAGTTGGAGATGTCACCAAGATCAGTCTGGAGGGGCTGATGGGATCGGATTTACTGTCAGCTGCAATGTTTTGGTTGTGAAACATTGGCGTTTTCAAATAAACCATGTCAATGTGTAACACAGCAACACCCTACCATCCTTAGCATAATTAAAGGATCACTATAGTGCCAGGAAAACAAACTCGTTTTCCTGACACTATAGCATCCTTAGGACCCCCATCCTCAGGGTCCCCCTCCCTTTGTGCTGAAGGGGTTAAAACCCCTTCAGCCACTTACCTTTATCCAGCTCTGGGCTCCCTCGGTGCTGGTGACCTCTCCTCCCCCGCTGATGTCAGCTCCCGAGTGGAGCGGAATGCACGTGTGGCAAGAGCACAGTTTTCTCTGAAGGGTTAAAACCTGGGGGAACTGGCACCCAGACCACTTCATTGAGCTGAAGTAGTCTGGGTGACTATAGCGTCCCTTTAAATTGTGTACCTTAGCCTGAATAATGTATTATCTATATGCCATCTAGAATTCATGTAACCACCAGGTAACACCTGCTACATCTCCTATGATCCTCAGCCAATCTAGGGTTCTGGGAAATGTAATTTAGCTACCTATAAACTCTTATATTCTTATACTCTTATAATTAGTTAAATCTGTATATATGTTGAGATTGGCAAATCCTAATAAGTTTCCTTTTAGTTCTGTAATAGGTAAAAGTGTGAACAATGCACAGATACTCAAAGTCTCCCTGAGGATCTGGGGCTCAAAACGACACTATTTTATATAAATAATAATAATAATGATTTTTAAAGCGCCAACAAATTCTGCAGCGCTGTATAATAGATGGCAAATTCTGCAGCGCTGTATAATAGATGGACTAACAGACACGAGAAATGTCTTTCTTTATAGTTTCGAGCCGGATGCTTTCTGGGTATTCTAAATATGCTCTTAAACAAGTACAAATGGTCTCCCCGAATTCACCGCAAGACAGAGATTTCAAGGTATCTTTTATGTTATTCACTAGAGGGTGAATTTCAGAAACTCAATGTGAAATCAATGTGAATTTCACATTTTAGACCAAAAAAAAATCCCAAACTGATAATATGGTTGACATGTGGAATTTGTTGAGATTGGCCATTCCTAATAAGTTTATTTTTAACCCTGTAATAGCTAAAGGTTTGAGCAATGCACAGACACTCAAAGTGTTCCATTAAGGACCTGGGGATCCAAACTGCACTATTCTATAGCCATAATAATAATTATTATTTTTAAAGCGCCTACAAATTCCACAGCGCTGTACAATAAGTAGACTAACAAACAGGTATTTGCAGCAAGACAAGTTGGAAGCACTAGAACCGAGGGTATTGAGGGCCCTGTTCAAATGAGCTTACATTCTAGATGAACGGATGTGTGTGATAAACCATATTTTCATCACTTATGTATTCTCTATAAAGGCACAGTAATTTTATTTAGTGGTATGTTTCACCTGGGGAAGTTTAGAAAGAGTTATAAAAAAAATAATAATACCATGCTACAAAATGGCTTCTTTAAGTGTAGCCTGTGTTTTCATACTTTATGTTGTTGACATTTGAAAAGGAGAACATTTATGGGCAGGAGAGAGCGAAGGCAGAGCACGCATTCACAGCTTGATACATACTTCTAAAATCCATTAAACAAACTTCGGATTTCTAAAGACTAAAAGTAAAAGCCAGAGAATAGTATTTAATGTAGCCAGCCAGCTTCTGTGTCCAGAAGGGGGCGCTCATTACCAATCACATCAATGTCAATCTGATTCCAAAGAGTCTACAAAGCATAAGGAGTCTGAATTGAACCTGCTTGCCTTGTATGAAGGATAGCCCTGGTATAAAGTTTGCAATACGGGCAGAAAGCCTGAAAATGTGACGTTCAGTGCTATAATTCCCTAAAATGTTTTGAAAAAGATCTAAAAGTAAAACTCTTCTACTTGTTTGAACAGCGCAAGATTGTCTCAATGTGGCTCTAAACCTGAGCTGCCTGAAGGGTGCTGCTTGGCATCAGATCAACAGGGTGTGAATACATTCCAGGCTGACATGCCCCCTTTTTTTTCTTGGGCAGACTGCTCCTGCTGGATCACTTGTACACCCCCCTAATGCCCCTCTCCCCAGTTTATAAAGATTTCTGATATTCTTGCTAATTTATTTAAAGGGGGACAGAGGTTAAAATAAAAGGTCCGTACTGCTGGTTTCCACTAAAAATATGTTGCTGTTAAAACCGCGTGAATAAAATGTCTGATCACTATATGAGTGGCATATAATTGCTACATAAGATCACACAGTCATTACAGTGCAATTTATAACTCGACCCATTTAAAAGTTGCTGCCTTGATGCTAGGGTTAAAGGTAGGGGGACTTGAGTTTAGAAGGACTTTGAAGGCTTAACATGACCTAGCCCATCAGAATATGAATGTACAGATCAATTTTGACTTTTGCCGATATATGACTCATTTTCAGGAACTCCTGATTTGAATTGAAAAGGTGAATTGCAAATTTCAGGCCAATTTTTCGGTGAAAAAAAATTAAAGGGTTTGAGAATCTTTACAATTTGTCTATTTTGGCCTGTAATTCCCTTTTGCATTCAGCGCAATTTCATTACGTTAATTAATTTCTGAATGAATAAACCCTGATGGTGTCTCAGCTGTTTGTACGTCTTCACCTGAACTCAAGGAGGAGTTATCATGTCAATCTAGTTAACCGGTGATAACTATATTCTAAGACGATATGACAGCTAGAACATAAAGTTAGGTATACAGTCTGAGAAAATGATGACTGTGTCAATAAAGTAGCATTTGTAGAAAGTAACGTTTGGGCATCTGGAAAAATTGCCATCTTCAAATGATTGTTCAGGACAAAACAAAATTATTAGCATTTATATACGTGTTCCGGCAATGACTTACGCAATCTCATTGAGATAAATAAATAGCTCCAGCGATGTCTTATGTCTTGTCCCGTCATTAACGTTGGTGACTTGCACGGGGACACCTGTGAGCGGGCAGAAACAGAAAAACACAAAGTGGGCGCCAGTGGCAGTGAAAATGGCAATACACACAGAAAACCCCCAGGGACCAAATCACTCTCCATTCAATACAACGAGCCCTCGTTACACCACACACAGCATTAAATGGATGAGACAGATATGAACTCTAAGTAACTTCTTAAATAGCAGGAGGTGAGGGGAGAGGTTAGAGATTCAGAGTAACATAGAAATGGCAATAAAAATATATCCCCCCACCCCCTGTCTCATTACTGCTATACCATCTTTCATTTCATACACTGTGAAATCGCAACCAGTCCCATTACTAATTAAATTTCACGCTCTTCCATTGTCTTACGAATCTGCGCCTTCTGTCCTACCACTCAGGGATTTGAGCCTGACAAATGGGAATAAGGGGGGGGACTGGTGGCCCAGTCGCCCGGTGGGTTGCTCATACCCACCCACCCTCACGTAATGTCTGTTTCAAAGGGCGCCAAGTGGGTCCAGCTAAAGTTATGTGGCTGTCACTGCTCAATGGGAGCAGTTCCAGTCTTCGAGATGTTACAGCCGTTCGGCTGAAGGGGGATCCCATGAATTAATTATTACACCTTCCAAAAGAAAGGGAAAAAGGAAGGGTGTGGTGAAATGACCAAGAGTGAGGCGGGGGGATAAGGGGGAACATTTGGATGGAAAGGGTTTTGGGTGGGAGGGAGAAGACAGACTATGAAAAGAAAAGGGTTATTATACTTTTGTAGAGTGAAATGAGCAATAAATGTATCAGCAATCAGACAAGGGGTTGTTCTGGTACAAAGCAATGCTGAGCCCAGTTTGCTATTAATCTCTCTTCCATCTGTTCTCCTTATTAACATGCATTGGCCTATTCACTGCCAATCACCCCTTAACAGATTCCTTTCAATCTCTATTGCTATTAAATGTAATTCTTTGCAATAATGAACTTTAAGCTCCCCTCATCAGTCCGCAGATCCTATTTTTTTTTTTAAGGACATTTGCGAAAGGCTTTCTTCATCTGGAATTCACAAATCGTCCCTGCCCCATCGCAGGCTGTGCATCTTGCTCAGCTGCTGATCGTTTTAAAATAGTCAATAATTAGATTAAAACTTCAAATAAATGAAGTGAGGGGTGAATGAGGAATCACATAGAAAAGGGTAAAAAAAAAAAAAGAGTTTGCCATGTGTTTTTTTTTTCTCCCGAATATGTGAGAAAGGCTAAATTTGCCTCGGAGATCAGCTAACAATACCACAAGTCATTTTAAAGCCACTTGTAAATAAGAATGCTAGCAATTACGGCAAATAAATATTTTATATGAGCTAGAGAACTTTACAGTGATATGTTTACTATTATGCAGGGCAGTTCTAAATTCTACGGAATGCTCAGGATTCAGGAAGTCAGCTGTTAGGGTAGTATAGAGGTACCAGAAGGTTACATTATAAACGATACTACCAGTTTATTTACTTGTAGACTGGAAATTGTGGAGAAGGGAGTTGGTAATTTTAGGCCAAAATAGTTGCACTGCAAAATTCTCTTTATGCTGCTATGGACTAAACTCCTATTACTGAATAATCCTTTAAGGGGTTTATTCACCAAAAAGCACATTGTGGCGAACTGTAAACTGAATTTTGAAATTTAAGCTGGTTTAGAAAAAACAAACACGTTTTAACTCCACTTCTTTTATGGCGTAGCTATTTTAGACTGAATTTTGCAAGACAGATTTAATTCACTTGTTGTTTAGTAAATAAACCCTTGTGTGCCTACTCTGACTGTAGCTTATATGCCATTGTTATTTACGTTTACTATTCAAGTTAATGTTGTTCTGTGGGGTCTGTTTACTGAATTGAAAAAGAAGGTTGAAGGGTTATTTCAAGCAAGTTGTAGGGGTTATGATACTAGCAGTATTCTAGCGCAGTCCCTTGGTAATGCGGCAAACTATTTAGCAATACTTTTCCTTCTTACCGGGGTACCCTCGGTCAGGGCCGGCCCGTCCATTGGTCCCAGTGGGGCCATGGCTCCAGGCGGCACTTTGATGAGGCGACATTTTGCTGCCCTTTTACACTTTAAGTTACCTGCAGTGCGGCCCGGGCTGCCTATCTGCATATATATATATATATATATATATATATACACATAGGTCCGGGCCCTCGCAACCCTGACCTGTGAAGAGGGAGCCGTGTGAGCTTTGCCGCAGAATGCCATGGAAATGCTCTGGCATGCAATACGCATGGAGAGGACATGAAGTTGCAGGAGGGAATGATTAGATTCCTGGGCCCACTCTTCACAGGACATGCTGTGCCACTGGACCACCAGATAATTTAGTGTCGCCCCTCCCTGGCCACAGGTAAGAGGTAGGAAGGGAGAATTAAGCCTAAACATAAATTTAAACAAAAATGGTTCACAGCCTCCATCCAACCCATCTACACACACTGAACATACTACATGCACTACAAAAACACTGACACTGCATCCACTACACACACACACACACTGCATCCACTACACACACGTTGCATCCACTACACAGGTACTGCATCCACTACACGGGTACTGCATCCACTACACGGACACTGCATCCACTGTACACAGATACTGCATCCACTACACAGTCTGCATCCACTACACATATACACTGCATCCACTGTACACAAACACTGCATCCACTACACAGTCTGCATCCACTACACACTGCATCTACTACTCATACATACTGCATCGTCTACACAGGCACTGAATCCACTACACACACTCTGCACACACTGCATCCACCACACAATGACACTGCATCTACTACACACACACACTGCATCCACTAAACACACACTCTGTATCCACTACAAACACACTGAACCCACTACACACACTCTGCATCCACTACATACAGATACTGCATCCACAACACACACACTCTGCATCTACTACACACTGTATCTACCACACTTTGCATCCAGCACACACACATACACTACATGCACAAACTGGATACACTACACACACACTGCATCCACACACACACACAATGCATTCACTACACACTGAATTAACTGGCTCCAGTCTGGTTGATGACACCCTAATGACATGGCCAGGTAGAGTTACACCTCCGCCATAGCGAAATGCGGCCCATGCAGACTTTAGGCACCATAACAACTTCACATCACCGAAGTGGTCACGGTGCTAACTCTATAAGAGAATTTTTCTAAAAATAACAGTTTGGAGTTAATCTGTCAGCTTCTCTCTGTTGTGCACCTCTCATCTCTCTTCCAATCCTATGTATCTATGATTCTCAGCTGTCAAAACTATCTCTATCTTTCTGCTATCTTATAGCATCTTTTCTATCTTATTTGACTCTGATTCCAACCATATGTCTCTCAGCTCTGTGTTTAAAAACTTCCTATGTCTCTGTACTCTGCACTTGTCAAAGTCTATAGCTATCTCACATGTCACTGGGCCTCACGTTTCCACGTCAAGTCTGGGTCTGCAATCATTATGTCTCTTTATCCCTCATTCAGAAATAGTTTTGATCATCCTCTGTCTGTGCCTGCAGTCATCCTATGCTTCTCTGCATCAAATCTTCCATTTAAATTAGCCTCTATAGAAACAGACCGGATCAGATGTGAATCATTGTATTCCAGTAACAAACCCATACTTTCAATAACTGCCTGTAATTGGGTTTATGTGTAGCATGTCTTGGACCTTTAAAAAGTTAAATGGTGTTCCGTTTGTGCTAGCCACTGCCTGACCCATTGTAGGAACCACGAAACCCTTTGGCACATTTTCTACTGTCTGTGTCCCAGAAACATTTTTTTTTTTACACTGCATTTTGGTTCTATGGTATTCACACCTTTTTTGAACTCAATTTCCAGAATATCTGGGGAGGCAGAGGATGTGCAGGGATCTTTAGTTTTCATGAACAGTCCAGCTGGAGCGTGATTCTAAAAGAATAAACAAGAAAATTAACAACAAACAGGAAGCCAAGTATACTTTAATTAAACAGGTCTCCTGATCCACAGAGCTCACAATCTAAGCCAGCCGTCTTAAGCCGTTGGAAAGAAGTTAGTTGATTATCAAGATGTATGAAGCATTCCCCCCTCCACAATTACAGCAGTGTGAAATGCACAATGTGCTAGACAGTCTCAGACTGGGATATCGTCAGCATAAAGACAGTGGAACTCGTACACACTAGTTTATTCTGCGAAGATGAAAAACTGAATAAGATTGGGTGACCCCAGCAGGTGCACTACTGGAACGCATTCGTACAGTGTCCCCGAGGTTAATACATCCAGGGGAGCTGAGAAGAACAAGGCAGGAACTCATCTAAAAACATATCAGTCTAATGCCATCTTTGGCAGCGTTACAATAAAAAAGCGCTTTCTCTCAGCGCACATCATTCACGGCCTTTCTGGGTTAGTGGCTAAAATCCGCTTTGGCCCATTTGATTGCTTGCTGTCCCTGTATTGTGGGCGTGTTAATGCTTGTCAATCACTGGCACCCAGCTTTTTGTACAGAATCTGTTCTGGAATAACAGTCGTCTGCTCAGTAGTGTTATAGAGGGACAACAGACAGCGTAACCCTGCTATTCAGAGAATGATTCGGTGAGAGTTTCTACATTACCGGTAATATAATTACTGAATAACATATCAAGCTTTATAAGCCAGGACTTTAAACAAAGAGGATGATAGCCCCTTGGAGCCATTAGTAATGTAGATAGAGTTATCAACCCCCATGTTAACATTAGTATAGGGCCCCAAAATATTGGGGTATATTTTAAGGTAGTGGTGTGTTAATCATACTTCCCAACAGTCCCAAGTTTGTCAGCACAGTCCTGGCTTTGCGCTCTTGTCCTACTGTTGCAGGTTTGTTCCCTGGTGCCCCCAATCAACAAGAGAAGCCTGTTCGTATCCCTGGGCATTCTCACACTTTGCAAACTGAATGGGCAGAACTTTAACCAGCATTCTTTGCAGGTTCTTCCAAGTGGGGCTGGTCAGTGGGATGTATTCACACCAGACTGATAGGCTCGGTGCTTATCTCTCCCCACCAGCTCAAAAATGCACATAATACGTGCTGAAAACAGGCTATTTCTACTGGAAAGGCGTCCACTTCCTAATGGGAACATCAGCTCTGCTTAGGAACTTACATCTCTGGCGTTTGTAAAACCGGCAGCATCCTGGTAAGAAAGGAAATAATTGAAAAACTACTTACATATGGGGTGGGGCACCAGGGCACTCTTTGCATGATAACCACTATAGCCAGCTGTTGTGGTTGTGGTGCTTAGAGGGTACCATTAAGTTATGTTTTTTTTTTGTATTTTTAAGATTTAAATTGGTATACTTTGTCTGAGCTAATTTAATTTTACCTAAAGTCACAGTCTCAGTTTGAAACACACAGAAACGGTCACAGGCAACATGAAGTCATAGTCTCAGCCTAAACACATACATAAACAGTCACAGGCAGCGCAGAGTCACCGCATGAATCCAAACAGAAACAGAAACAGACAGAGGCAGCATTGAGTCACAACCATAGCATAAACACAAACAGAAACAGACACAGACAGCATGACGTCACAGTCTGAGCCTAAACAGGAACAGTCACAGGCAGCATGGAGTCACAGTCTGAGCCTAAACAGGAACAGGCAGCATGGAGTCACAGTCTGAGCCTAAACAGGAACAGTCACAGGCAGCATGGAGTCACAGTCTGAGCCTAAACAGGAACAGGCAGCATGGAGTCACAGTCTGAGCCTAAACAGAAACAGTCACAGGCAGCATGGAGTCACAGTCTGAGCCTAAACAGGAACAGGCAGCATGGAGTCACAGTCTGAGCCTAAACAGGAACAGTAACAGGCAGCATGGAGTCACAGTCTGAGCCTAAACAGGAACAGTCACAGGCAGCATGGAGTCACAGTCTGAGCCTAAACAGAAACAGGCAGCATGGAGTCACAGTCTGAGCCTAAACAGGAACAGGCAGCATGTAGTCACAGTCTGAGCCTAAACAGAAACAGTCACAGGCAGCATGGAGTCACAGTCTGAGCCTAAACAGGAACAGTCACAGGCAGCATGGAGTCACAGTCTGAGCCTAAACAGTCACAGGCAGCATGGAGTCACAGTCTGAGCCTAAACAGTCACAGGCAGCATGGAGTCACAGTCTGAGCCTAAACAGTCACAGGCAGCATGGAGTCACAGTCTGAGCCTCAACAGCCTAAACAGTCACAGGCAGCATGGAGTCACAGTCTGAGCCTAAACAGGAACAGTCACAGGCAGCATGGAGTCAAAGTCTGAGCCTAAACAGGAACAGTCACAGGCAGCATGAAGTCACAGTCTGAGCCTAAACAGGAACAGTCACAGGCAGCATGGAGCACAGTCTGAGCCTAAACAGGAACAGTCACAGGTGGCATGGAGTCACAGTCTGAGCCTAAACACAAACAGTCACAGGCAGCATGGAGTCACAGTCTGAGCCTAAACATGAACAGTCACAGGCAGCATGGAGTCACAGTCTGAGCCTAAACAGGAACAGACACAGGCAGCATGGAGTCACAGTCTGAGCCTAAACAGGAACAGTCACAGGCAGCATGGAATCACAGTCTGAGCCTAAACACGAACAGTCACAGGCAGCATGGAGTCACAGTCTGAGCCTAAACAGGAACAGTCACAGGCAGCATGGAGTCACAGTCTGAGCTTAAACAGGAACAGTCACAGGCAGCATGGAGTCACAGTCTGAGCCTAAACAGGAACAGTCACAGGCAGCATGGAGTCACAGTCTGAGCCTAAACAGGAACAGTCACAGGTGGTATGGAGTCACAGTCTGAGCCTAAACAGTCACAGGCAGCATGGAGTCACAGTCTGAGCCTAAACAGGAACAGTCACAGGCAGCATGGAGTCACAGCCTGAGCCTAAACAGTCACAGGCAGCATGGAGTCACAGTCTGAGCCTAAACAGTCACAGGCAGCATGGAGTCACAGTCTGAGCCTAAACAGTCACAGGCAGCATGGAGTCACAGTCTCAGCCTAAACAGTCACAGGCAGCATGGAGTCACAGTCTGAGCCTAAACAGGAACAGTCACAGGCAGCATGGAGTCACAGTCTGAGTCTAAACAGGAACAGTCACAGGCAGCATGGAGTCACAGTCTGAGCCTAAACAGGAACAGTCACAGGCGGTATGGAGTCACAGTCTGAGCCTAAACAGTCACAGGCAGCATGGAGTCACAGTCTGAGCCTAAACAGGAACAGTCACAGGCAGCATGGAGTCACAGTCTGAGCCTAAACAGGAACAGTCACAGGCAGCATGGAGTCACAGTCTGAGCCTAAACCGGAACAGTCACAGGCAGCATGGAGTCACAGTCTGAGCCTAAACAGGAACAGTCACAGGCAGCATGGAGTCACAGTCTGAGCCTAAACAGGAACAGTCACAGGCGGTATGGAGTCACAGTCTGAGCCTAAACAGTCACAGGCAGCATGGAGTCACAGTCTGAGCCTAAACAGGAACAGTCACAGGCAGCATGGAGTCACAGTCTGAGCCTAAACAGGAACAATCACAGGCAGCATGGAGTCACAGTCTGAGCCTAAACAGTCACAGGCAGCATGGAGTCACAGTCTCAGCCTAAACAGTCACAGGCAGCATGGAGTCACAGTCTGAGCCTAAACAGGAACAGTCACAGGCAGCATGGAGTCACAGTCTGAGTCTAAACAGGAACAGTCACAGGCAGCATGGAGTCACAGTCTGAGCCTAAACAGGAACAGTCACAGGCAGCATGGAGTCACAGTCTGAGCCTAAACAGTCACAGTCACAGGCAGCATGGAGTCACAGTCTGAGCCTAAACAGGAACAGTCACAGGCAGCATGGAGTCACAGTCTGAGCCTAAACAGGAACAGTCACAGGCAGCATGAAGTCACAGTCTGAGCCTAAACAGGAACAGTCACAGGTAGCATGGAGTCACAGTCTGAGCCTAAACAGGAACAGTCACAGGCAGCATGGAGTCACAGTCTGAGCCTAAACAGGAACAGTCACAGGCAGCATGGAGTCACAGTCTGAGCCTAAACAGGAACAGTCACAGGCAGCATGGAGTCACAGTCTGAGCCTAAACAGGAACAGTCACAGGCAGCATGGAGTCACAGTCTGAGCCTAAACAGAAACAGTCACAGGCAGCATTGAGTCACAGTCTGAGCCTAAACAGTCACAGGCAGCATGGAGTCACAGTCTGAGCCTAAACAGAAACAGTCACAGGCAGCATGATGTCACAGTCTGAGCCTAAACAGGAACAGTCACAGGCAGCATGGAGTCACAGTCTGAGCCTAAACAGAAACAGTCACAGGCAGCATGGAGTCACAGTCTGAGCCTAAACAGGAACAGTCACAGGCAGCATGATGTCACAGTCTGAGCCTAAACAGGAACAGTCACAGGCAGCATGGAGTCACAGTCTGAGCCTAAACACAAACAGTCACAGGCAGCATGATGTCACAGTCTGAGCCTAAACAGAAGCGGTCTATCAGTCAGTCATATATGCTTCAATTTTGCTACTTGTAAAACATTGAGGAAACATTATGACACCATTCATTAAGACTTGTGTCATTACTTTGCCTCGTACAGCAGTGTACACAATCTATTTGTAGTTGGGGAATTAAAATTGTGGGTGACTAAAGGTTAAGAGTTTACCTTTAAAATACTATAGACTATAAATCCTCACCCTTAACTAAAAGTTTCCCTAACCCTACATCATCCCAAAACTAAACTCCCTATAACCCTAAGAATTCCCTAATCTTATAAACACAACCTCCCCAATTAGTAGCGATGTTAATGGCAGTGTTATACCCTTTTATTCTCATGAAAGCAGCATCAATATTTAATGACTACATTATAAACTATCAATGACACATCTGAACTACAATTGAGAGATAAAAAGGTTTCTGCAGCGACATGGCGGGCATAGTTAAAGAAAGGAATTGTATAGTGATCAAAATGAAAAGGTAGCAGGAAACAGAAACATAGACTGCTCTATTGTCAATAGAGAGTGAGAAATGCGTAGGAAATAGTACTATGCAATCTAATGTGGCTTTAACTGTAATGTTCACCATAGTAATAATATGCACATTCACAGATAGATACAGCGATGCTGTTTGATGCTATGTAGAAAAACAGCATTTGTAAAGACATGAGATCTGCATAGGATATCTTAAATAAAGCTCCAATAGACTGGGAGGGTTAGGCTTAATGGGTAGGTCAAGTCCTGGGGTCCACTCGTAAAATATCAAAATTCAAACCTTTTTACTAAACATTGGAAATCAAAGTCACTTAGCGTCCAATTTTCTTACCCGACTCTGACAACCTCTATTAAATAAAATAACCAAAATAGAATTAAAGTGCCTATTGGTCTTTCTAGTAAACCATGTCTGCCTCTCATTTATTTCCCTTTCAAAGCCTCAGTTCAAATGACAAGTCATTGCATGCACTGTATCACAAGCTTTCTATTTGTCTGACTCTGCAGGGGTGCTGTTGCCGAAATGTCATTTAAAAAAAGAAGGAAGTGAAGAAGAAGAAAAAAAAATATATGAAAATTTTAAAAAAACAAAACAAGGTTTGTAGATGAATTAAAAAAATCGTAACGATGGCGGATGGAAAGAGGATTAAAAAACAGGGGTGCAAAATGATGGGTGCTGCATAGGGTTAGAAAAAGGTAGAAGAAAAAGAGAAGAAAAAAAAAAAGAGTGTGAGAGAAAGGAGAGAGGAGGGGACATATAGGGGAGAGAGATTAAGAGGAAATGGAGCATGAATTCAATGCTAGTGTAAAGCCGCTTGCAATTTCAATGGTTTTATTCACCCAGTTGATGTTGTTGTGTCCGGGTTTGAATGAACTCTTTCAAAGCGCCATATGAAGTTAAAGCAAGTAAATTTCTATCTTTCCACCATTAGAATGCCTCATTGCCCCTCAATCAGGTCTCATAGAGGCAGAAAATGACCGAACCATCTGTGTTTTCTTTTATTTTCTCCCTTTTTAAATCCCTGCAGTTAGCGGAGCTAGCCTTGGAAAGATATTTTTGAATCTAGAAGATAAAAGTAGCTATTGCCCATTAAATAACGTGCTCTATTTTTTACATTTAATTTATTTAAACTACGTCAGGTATGCATCTAAAACTCGGAGGCATTTAATATATATTTTTATCTCTCATTGATATCTATGTTTATACGCTGGTTTCTAAGGACACTACATCACTTTTGCAATTGCTCAATTTACAAAATTTGGCTTGGATTGCAGTAAAACAAATATATTTCCTTTGATTGTAGTTGATCAATACTCCAAACTAACTTAAATTATTCTTCATCCATCATTACTATAAGAGAAGGCATGCTATGTAGACATAATACTTTAATGTTAATCTACCCCTATTAATTATGATTTCAGACCATTGTAAAACAGAAATGACTTTGGTGGCTTTCTGTGTTCTGCATTAATGTTATTGTGTACGAAATAAGAAGCCAACTACACTCAATTGAAGATTAACTGGCTGAGAATGGACAAGTCAACAAGATCGTCTAAGTCGCAGATGACTGTAATTGTCATTTTTCTCTGTCAGTGTGCCCAAAAAACTATGGCACCATGTCAGGTGTTAAATGAAAACATATTGTGACATCAAATGAGAACCAACCAGCCCATCTAATATGTCTACTAAGTAATCTCTGACTGATTTTGCTTAGTTGTGTTTCTGGGTAGCCTTATGTCTATCCCGTTTGTTAATTTCAATTGTTCTTGTTGGTAAGCGACTCCATGTATCTGCTACTCCTTTTCTACATCTTCTCACTTTAGCCGGCAGCATTATACCTGCAAATTATGCTCTATGGATAAATTATGCTTTTAAGGATATAGTTAGTCTACCTAGCAACCTACTGCCCTCCTGGAAACAGTTTGACTACCTAGGAACCTACCTTCCCTTCCAGATAGAATGAGTCCACTGAGAAACCTACCTTATTTTCTAGATATAGTTAAACCTCCTAACAACCTACCTAAATCTCTGGATGCAAGTAGTCCACCTAACAACCTACCTTCCCTTCCTCATACTGTGAGTATATCAACCCACCTAACTTTCTAAGTACATTGTATCCCCTTTCCATAGACTGTAAGTTCGTATGAGTAAGGGTCTCATCACTTCTTGATACAGTAATTTGTATGTCTACTTTACGTATTGTACTGCAGAGCAGAATACATTGGCACTTTAGAAATAAAAATAATGTGTATGAGCTCTGTGTGAGTTTGGTACAAAACACTGGTTAATATGTAAGTTGTGAAGTGGTGAGGGTCATGAGATGCTCAACGTGCAGACATATTGAGACTCTCAGTCTTCTAAAAACCTTCCTGCCAGGAACGGGTTACAAAGCCCGGCCTCTCTCGTTGACATAATGATCAAAGACTGAAATGTTTATCAAAATATTGCAACAAAGTGGATGCATCTCTCTCTGCCTGCTCACCTCAGCTCTCGCACTCTCCCTGTGCCCCCTAGGTGCATTCATTCTGACTGATCATGTAATTAGTGTTGATGGATAGTTTAAGTAGCTCTCTGTGTCTGTCAGAGCATGAACAGCCTGCTGGGAAAGTTCTCGGGCTCATAGCAAAAGTGTCCTACACATTTAAACAAATGACTACACGTTGGAGTGTCAGCTCTTTGGGGGGAAGAATAATTTATCACTCAGCAAAATTACAGATGGCCTTGAAATATCAGATTGCTGGCTAAATTACTAGGCAATGCTCTGGGTGTAACTGATGCATTAAGACTTTGATGGATATTCGTTGTACACTAGATGTTTATGTACTGCATTTCCCATGATGCTCAGCTACCCTAAAGCAAAGTCATGGGGGATATCCAAAAATCAGTACTCAAACAATTCATTGGTTTCCATTGTGGACGTTCCCTTATTTTGAGTAGGAATATGCTGGAACATTGCGAGTGTAGTTCAGGAAAGATTTGGTAGTATATACTTGATAAATACCCACTGAGGGGCACGTATTAAAAGGAATTCTGGGAAGAATTTCAAAAGTGGTGGGGTAACCATGGAAACCAATGGAAGGTTCCCCTATCAGAACTAACTAACCCCAGGTTTTCATTATACAGAACTCCTAGAAATGTGCCAACTGGAATCTCCAATATCGTGACACAGACACTCTCCATTGGATAATACTAAACATACGCCATCCCAAATGATATTCTAATTGTAAAGACGTATCTTAGAATATGTGTGTTATTGACCATTGTTGACCAATCTGTTAACATACTGAACACAACTTAATATTAAAATGCAACCTATCTGAGCTGAGTGAAGAAAGGGAACATTAATACATTAAATGTTCCACATAAAACATGAAAATACAGCTAATAACAGACAATAATATTGTAGACTAGGTATAAAAGAATTCTATGGGACTTGCAATCCACCCACAGATGGACAGCCAAAGTTGGACAACTCTGCTATAGACAAATGTATCAGCAGTGAGAAATATGTAGCATTCTAGTTATTAGTGAACTTCTTCATCTACAATTCTCAAGTCAACGGTGGACGTTCTAGTTCATTAGAAATTTGGGAAGCACGGTTTGGTAACTTGGCATATTTCCGACTGTGGTTTTCCCAGTATATTTGGAAAACCACAGTAGGTCCCTCAGTGCATTGCACTTTCTAATCTTTGGACACTCAGGAGGAGACCTCCATCTCTAGCTCCTCAATAAAAAATATATATATATACATACATCATCCTCAGTCCATAGCGGTGGAATAAAAATTTGTATTCACCAAAAAGCTGACCTAGCAACATTTCGAACTTGCTGAGACCATGACTGAAGCTTGACAAAGACCGCAGCAAGGTGGAATCCTTACTGGGCCCAACTTTTAGCTGAAACCCACACCCCAACACACACACCTTTTTACATGACTAAGGGCTATGAAATGTTTTTTTTTTTTTTTTGTGGATTTAGAAGGACTTTCTTATTTTGAGTGATACTTACTTTGGGGTTCTCCAAAATCCCAGCTTCATAGCTAAAAAGTAAGAATGACATTATCAGTCTGTGAAAGCAGAACATGTACATGTATCGGTCTATATAAATCAGTGGCAGAGTGTGGTCAGTGGCCGACTTGGGTTGGGTACATGTGGATGAGAATGAAATCTAGTGAAGCCTATCTATCTGTTACAATGGATCTTAGCGTATAGTAGAAAATGACCAATTTGCTGTAAAACTAACCTGGTCATGCGAATGACATGGAAACAGTTTACAGATAACTGAATTCCATATCTATGTTACAATATTAGATTCCAGAATAAATCACATCACTGTTAAAGGGACACTATAGTCATCGGAACCACTGCAGCTTAATGTAGTGGTCCTGGTGTAATTTGTGAGCATTAAATATTGTAAAACATACACTACTTCTTTGAGTAACAGGTATAAAAGATGAACATAGTAATGAAACTCTTTACCTGATATGCATAATGTTTTCATCCATACTCCATGGGTTTTTGGGTGTGACAGGTACTGGGATGCCATGTTTCTGAAGGGAACAGGATTAGAAAAATAGCTATTAGCAATAGCTAACAATGACAGGGTTATTCGTTAAAATTAAAATTGTTGGGAATTCAAAGTGAATTTAAGTAAATTTTCAAGCCAAACTAAAACATAGCCGATTTGGATAATTTTTCCAAGTTGGATATTCAGTTTAAAATTTGAAATTCACGTTGACGTCCTGACCGTAACCCTACATACGACACTGTGATCTGTCACTATAAGCAAGGCCATCTTAAGCCACCAACAGATGCTGGACAGAGCTTTATCACACAGTCAGAAAATTACCATAGTAGTATAAATGAAATATATAAACATTACAAATTCAGGTTTTCCCTGTCCGTGTCGTGATGGCATGAGGCCACATGCCCTCTTTGCCCTGTGGATGGGGCAGTCTTTTTCCTTTTTTGTCTTCATATAACATAAGAAATCTAAATACTTTATGCACTATTTTAAAATGAGCAATTTTACACAGACAAACAATGGCTAGGTAGATCTAAGGAACGTTTGCTAATACTGACATAGATGGAGCTTTGAGTAGTCCGTGAAGGTAGCTGTAGATATGTTGGCAAATAATCATAAATAGGACTACATATATACAGGTGAGCAAGCATAAAATGGTCGATAGATTCTATGCATTCTAAACACCCATAAAGTCTCTCTGTGCATTTAATCATGAGTCCAGCACAGAACATTACTCTTCAAACAACATTACGGATAAAATATATTCCTCCCCTTACACGCTATACAATGGAAAAAGCAAAAACCTTTATTTTTTATTTTTTTTTCACCAGCTCTAACCCTGTTCCCCTTTTCACTTCAACTGTTTGGAGAGAAAAAAAAAATATATAAAACCACAAAATTGCTTCTGTCTCAGTGGGATCAGCTAATCTGTTAACAAATTCATTGCGGGAAGACTGTGCGCCCGTCGAGGACATAGCTGGGCCCCGTTAGGCTCCCTATCTACTTGCACAGGATGTGTCCCAAACATTGGGATATGCAGTGAAGGGGAAAGAAATTCCCGAAAATGAAACAAAGAAACAATTACCTTCCTTTGGTATGCTCCTCTCTTTATTAAACGCTAACAAATGCCACCCACATTTGAAAAAGGCCCTGGCTAATGTTTAGCCGAGAGATCTCTGTAGAGGCATTCAATGCAATGGGCTGGCCATTTTACCTCCAGAACAACACCCCAAGCTGAAATAGTGAAGATGTCACAAAGCCCAGACACAGATGAGTTAATTGTTCTGTCAATTTGTACTCCATTCTAATAAGATGAGGACCTATTTGTCAGGGCAATGATCTGTTATTGACTAGTGTTTCTCCTCCAAAGAGATAAAAGCAGCAGGATTTATAATCTAATGCAGAATATATGAGATCTGCTTTCTTTATGTTTTTTTTTATAGTGTCATAGAAGGGGTGGTCACGGCTTGACTTGAACCTACAACCTCCATAACTCCCAGCCAGCCCGGCTTATGATATTAGTAGTTCAGTAGCTGATAATTCTAGGGCCACGTTTGAACAGTCGTGCTTTAACAAGCGTTTAATATTTCTCAAAAAGGAGCAAAAAAATAAAAAAATAAGCACAGCTTAAATAAATATTTTAATATTTCTTGTTTATTTTTCAATTTCATCCAATTTGCAGTTTGTTGAGTAAATGCTCAGTATGTAACTTAATTGAAAGCTAAATATGCAACGATAAGGTCACTATAGAATGAATTGACCAACTCCTCTTTATTCCCAACCTCACAATTTCGCCCCAAATTTTGTAATTCATTTACAGTTCATCACGATATATTGTTTATCAAATAGACCCCTATGTGTATCATAGATAGAAGTCACCCTTGTCATCATAAAATATTTCCTAAAGTGTCAGGAATTTAAAGTGAATTATAAAGTGATCATTAAAGCACTGTATAATAAAAATTAAAAAAAATTTAAAAATATACTTTTATCACTATTCCTTTAAAATGTAGGTTTCTATAATGATTAAACCACTACAGACCATCTTTGCTAAGTGGCACATTTTATTGAATAGGAGTTGCGTATGTAGCAAACAATTTTCAAAGTCTTACCGACAGTTTCAAATTTGGTGTAACATGCTAATTGGCTGATTATGTAAACGTCTGCCCTAATTGCATTAATCATTCAATGAAAGCAAGAACAAAAATGAAAGCTGTTATTCGAATTGCCATTTCGGCCATGTTTTCTTTGACAGCTGTAAATTTCACGTGCTGTCAGGAGGTCCATGCATAGCGCTGCCCAACTGCAAGGGGAAATCAATTGATTAGTCATGGCTGGTAACTGATAGAATTTGCCATGATTAATTGATTTCCTTTGGCTGCATGTGAATTGTATATACTTCTGGACAACAATATTCATGTGCCTTCCAAGAGTGTTTGGAACCCGTAACTATCTGGGAATAATAGTGTTTGCTCTTGTTGGGTTGATTTTACATTTGTCTGAGGTTTTTAGGTTAACTTTTTTGGGACTTACATTACCTAATTTGCATACTCAAATTTTCCCAGCATGCACCCAACTGCTTCGTTCTGATTGGCTGTGCATTGTTTTCCTAAAACATATTTTTTGATAGCTGACAGACAAGAGTTTAGGACTGTCACAAATTGTTTCTAAAATTTGTTAAAAACTGCAAAATCTCAAATCCTTCCAGAGGCCTATTTCATTGTCTTGTGTACCAGAATTGAACACTGTATTTTACAATCAGTCCACTCAACTTATGTGTCTTATTTGAGAAGCTATGATTTTTATAACTTATGACATTCCCTTAGGGGTACAGCCAGCAAAATGATACAATTTCATTTTATTATCTTTTAGCCTAATTTGGTTCCCCTATGGAATGTGTTTATATGCAATTAGGCACCAAATGGGTTAAAGGAATGATACATAGCCCCTGTCTATATATCCAGCATATTTCTGTTTAATGTTTCCATTCTGTTAATAAGTAGCCAGTGTGAAGTTAACTGAGAGCCTTTTACTTATCTCTGGACAAATCCTTGATAAATCTTTAGCCTCAAGGGAAGATGAGACAGTTTAGTTTCATCTGAAGACTAAATACCACCAATTATTTAGGAAAGCCGAAGGAGGGGGGACATAGGTGAGCGAGTCAGAAGTGGCTCTTAAGGGAACACAAGGATTTCTGTGATACCGATCTCTTTAAAGTCCCTTCTCATTTACAGACAGTCCCTTTAACACTCCAAACGATACTTTGTTTGCATAAAAGAAAAGAGAGAGATATATTTCCTTTGGAGAAAAAAAAAAAAAAATCTGCTTGGAGGCACGATTCTATGCCTGGAACGGATTATCAAAAAGCTCGGGAACAGAGCTGGGTGGGGGTTAGGACGGCGTGGGGACTCGAAGAACAGTATTGGGAACACGAATGGAAACATTAAGAAAATTTGGTGAAAAATCTAGAATCGAAAATGTTATACACGATATGTGACTATTAGACAGAGGACATTACACTTCATCTCTGTCCTGAGATATAGAATACTGTGTATGTGCTGGTCAGTCCCAAAAAGGAAATTCCCTGGTGAGGACCATATGTGCTAATATCCTGGCTGAATTTAGGAGATGTTTCATGCTCCAGTGAGTACAACACTCTCAGGCCTTCATTAGTTTTCAAGAGCTTGTTAGCCAATTAATGCCGCTCATTGTTTATTCTCAATAGGTAATAAACACAAGCAGGGGTATGCCAAAGGGCAAATTGACTAATGGTGATCTCCCCACACATATACACACACACAGAGATCTTACCCACTCAAATAGGCCGATGAGTCTACTTGTTTTTTTTTTTAACCTGCTGTTAAAAAAACAACAAAAAACCCACACTCCATGGCTGAATTTGATAAACCAATGGACTGCTCTTTACACCCCCAGGGATATTCAATAAAGTGTGAAATGTCAGCAATTCAACGTGGATACAAAGTGAATTAAATGTTTTTGGCTAAATTAGCTTAACCAGAGATTGTCTCCTGTTTTCAGATCAGCTTTTTGGCCTTAAAGTTTGAAACTTACTTTGAATATACTTTATATCCCCGACAATTCTTACTTTACTGGATAATCTTATTGCTAACATTATAACCTGATTTCAGACAAGGTACATACATTCCATATACTGTTGGATAACACTTTTAGGCCACCTGGCAGAGTTCCTAAATCATTACTTTTTAAATAAACCTTTTCTTTAATTAGAATGCCTTATTGGGCATTAGTAAAAAGGTCCCCCCCCCTTATAAACCTATAAAATAAGGCTAAACCAAGGCTGGGTGAGGTTCCCATCCCTGGTCTCCACGCAGTGTCCAACAACACATCCCTCTCCATGGCTTAGTCAAATACTTCTCATAGAGAAGCATCTGACTGGACCATGCTCACTAGCTTGGATTTCACTGATAATTCACACCGATACTTATAAATTACATTTTGAAAACCTGTAGCATAACATTTTTGAAGGGGTTCCATGCTACATATGCTATACTATATTGCTGGTGGACAAAGCAAGTTTATCATTAAATTTCTTTTGATTACTTAACCTTTATTAAAGGGGTGCTGTATGCACCATAACCACTGTAGCTCAGTGCAAAGTCCTTATCAAAAACTTTTGACACCTGGGCTAACCTGTCCCTCGGTGCCGAGGAGAGGCCTGAGTTCAAACCAGTTCACAGAAACGAACAAAGAAACTCTGGAAAATCATTGAGAAGCTAACGGGCATACCTTGGCATAATCCATTAAGTCACTTCTGCCCCGGAAACGATTGTAAAACTCAGGCATTCTCCAAGGTGCAATGATCTGCAGGACGATAAACAAGAATAAAACGATGGTACTTGGATAGACATGAGAAAAAGTACGTAGCAAGAAAGAAACAAAGGCAAGGAGCAGATGGAAATTTATCGGGGAAGAAGATTTTGGCAAACCATTCAAGCCTCTTACACCATCCTAAATCTCTTTAACGTGATCATGAAATAAGATACGGATTAGCAGACTGTCCTGAGTCACCATTGACACTATACACTATTAATCCTTCCATAATTGTCCATAGAGATAATTCTTTTGATATTAAGCGTACTCTTGGCTTAAAAGAGCCTCATTTAAATGTTATTAAAATTAAGAGCATCTTAATAGTTTTCCAGCTTCTGGTTGCAATGCTCTTTGTAAACTTTGACATTTGTGGTGGCGCTGTTTGCTTTTCCAATCTATGTTGACTATTTATTTAGTACTTTGAGTGCTCCTGGTAGAGCAACGATAGGAGCACAATCACATACTAAAAATGCTGTAAAAACTACCAAACATAGAATTTATCACAATTTTGGAAATATCTTCAAACAGTTTGAATCTGCTTCTTAGCCACCACACTACATTGTGTTTTCCAGTAAATGGGAATTCTAGAGAAATGACAAGGGATCCCCAATTTGGACCAAATTCGCCAAGCTAACGATTTTCTAAGTTTGCCATAAATTTCTCGTCATTTCTCCAAAATTACATTTTTAGTGAATACATCAATGTTTCTAAAATTGTATCTATGATCTCTAGAAATCAGGGACTGTAGGAGACATTTTGGCTGTTACCTGGACTTCGGGGTACAGAGAATAGCAGGTCAGTTCAAATCGGATCTGGTCATTTCCCTGCAAAAGCACAAAAGCAAAAATGCGAAAAGGATTAAACTACAAGATAAACTGAATGGAATATCTCAAAGTGACATCTTCACTTGATCTTATCAGTTCCAGGATAACTTGCACAGTTTATATACGGTATTCCGTAACTGGGTTGTTTACCTAGATGATTCTATACCGTAAAAATATTGATTACGCACTTCAGCTAATTTACAGTACTTGCAAGTAATTAATAACCTCTTAACATACAATATACATGAAATTAAGATCTTTTTGGATGTAACGATTATCCAAGTACATTTCAGATCTTTTTAAGTCTGTATATACTTACAAACTCTCTGAGATATCGAAATCGTTTATAAAGCTCGCTAAATATCGAATCCAAAATGATGTTTTGTTTTTTTTAATTTGATAAGGGAATGGGAGGACACATTACTTGACTTTGGTCTGTGGCTCCCTCTATTGGTAGAGCATATGCTTGAGAAACTATTTCAACACAAATTGTGCAGTAAACTCCATTTAGGCAATCTATTAAAATAGGCTTTGTTTGTAGGTCAGGTATTGTACGTAAAACATAAAATATCCCCAGTACCATTTTAAAAAAAGGGATATAAATGATTACATTTTTTAAGTTTTTCCCTCAATTTACATTAGCAATTATGAAAAGCATAACAACCATACTCTATAGTTTGCAAAATAAAAAAAATAAAAAATGATATTAGATGTATACTTTAGTATGTGGTAGCTATATAGATTGATTTATTAAATGTTTCATGCAACAAAAAAGAAGTTCTTAGAGGGAACACAGGTACACATAGGCAACACATTTACAGAACAGAAAAAGCTGCAGCTTAAGATGCAGTTATTATTATTATTGGTATTTATATAGCAGAATAGCGCCAGCATATTACGTAGCGCTTTACAATATTAGTTCCACTATGGTTGTGCATTGTGGATTCTTACTATAAAAAAAATTGGCTCACTGAGAATTCTTCCTTTTCAAGCTAACTATAAGCTTGATGGAGATGGAGATTCCTCAGCTGTTGATCCACTGTGAATTAGTATCATCGCCATATACTTGTGTTATATCTGTCTCTCATGCGGTTTACCAACAAAGTTTCATTATCATTATTTATAAAGCGCTGTACAACAGATACCAAGAAAAATAACAATTTTGAATGTTTACTTGCTTTTAAATTTTTAAAAAAAAATAAATAAATAAAAGCAGGCCTAAACGCAGCCATGTATCCCCTCTGCTTGATAAATTTGGCATGCTGGCTGATTTTCAAATCAGATTAGTTCAAACTGCTTGTGTTTTTAATGTCAGTAAGAAACTAGAAGCAAACCCTGGGTTCTTCCTGAAAACATCCTGCCAGCAATGAGCAACAGGAACTGTCCTGACGCCATAGTGCTGAAATCTTTGCCTACACATATGGGACTCCATTTGCTGTGCATTACAACTCCCAGTCAGCTCAGCCAGCCATAAAGTTGGCTGAGCTTCTTGGGAGCCATTATAATCCAGGGCAGTAAATGGTTTAGGAAATCTACTTTTAATAGAATCATTAAATGAAGCTGGGGGGTTAGGGGAGGAGGGGAGCATCTTTTCTAGGGGTATAAATCTAAACATATATATTTTGTCTAGCACTTTGTTATTCTTTAACATGTGCTAGTTAAAAAGTACACTCTAAGCACCATAACCACTGCAGCTTAAGCTAAGTATAAGTTATGATGCAAGTTATTTCTGTGCAGTTACTCTCGTTTTTTTTCAAATTGTTTTGGAGCAGATTGGAGAAAAAAAGTGGTTCCCTTAACACCCCAAACCCAGTGTAATAATAACATGAATCTAAATTCCACGATATCCATCCGCATTGGATTGCAGTGATAAGCATTGAGCTCAGGGGCTGGCTTAACATAATGTACACAGGATTTAACCTTTAGATTGTAAGCTCACGGGCAGAGCCCTCTACCTTTGCACTGGTCTGTTTATATTGTATTATCTATATCCCAATTGAATTCCGCTGCGGAATATGTTGGCGCTTTATAAATGCCAGTAATAAATAAGTGATAATAAAGTTTTCGTAATTCACGCTGGCTGCTGAGGATCGAGAGATCTTTGTCAAACTGCTCAAAGATAGCTTGGCAGCAATTCATTATCTAATGAAGTGAAAAAGTGAAAGTTGTGCTACAATTCTGTAATCCCCCTTTATCCAAACGTTCCATTTAAACTATTGATAGTCATTTTGAATATTATGAAAAACTAATAAATAGTTTGTACATTCATGAAGCCTCACGCAGACTCTAGACATGTAACTAATTTTTAATAAATAATATTATATAAAACCACTTCAGTCAAGCTCAGAAACAGAAGTTAAAACGTGGTCTCTAGCACCACCTCCTGGCCATTTGTAATTTAACAAGGCAGAGATGTGTACTTGGAATATATTATTATTATTATTATTATGATGATATTTATAGAGCGCAGTTTAGTTGCACAGTGTTAGCAATAGAAATATATGTTATAACAGAGATTAGGTCGATTCCTTTATTGGACAACTGGTTATATTGGTATTTTAAGCTTGTTTCTTCAGTTCCTCTAGTTTTGCGATTGGGCCTGTGCAAAGCAACCATCCAAATCGGCAATTAAAACAAATTTAAATATCCAATGTATATGTTTAATTATTACATTAAAATGCACAGGAGATGGATCATAACTTCTGTCCGTGAGAAAATTTGGTCTATTTTGAGTGCAATTGACCTTGATGTATGATCTTACCTTGCCGGTGGCTCCGTGGGACACAAACTTTGCACCCTCCCTTTTGGCAATTTCCACTTGCATCCTTGCAATGCAGGGACGTGCCAGTGATGTGCCCAAGAGGTATCGGTCTTCGTAGATGGCATTGGCTTGGACAGCTGGCCAGATGAATTGTTCAATAAACTCCTGACGCATGTCTTCTATGAAGACCTGCAGAACAGACGTAATGGTGGGGAGTCAATGACAATTTCTAGATCCTAAAAAACATGGTCCTGTGATTCTACTGCAGTAATTTTCAAACTATGGAGCTCTGACCATCAGCAGTTGATTGGACCCTTCTGGATGATATAAAACGTTTAACAGAGGTTATTGGTTTTTAGAAAAGAGGATCAAACAGAAAGTAGGGTCAGTAGTGATAAGAATGGTACACGTGAAAACCCAAGCATGTTTCAACTTGGCCACCCAATTCCAATTGTACAAACATTCTATGTTGTGCCGCTTTTGTTCCCTTTAGCAGGATCACCCCTATGTTTTTTTTATATTTATTTTAAACAGAGCCAGACATTCTAGTTACCTTCTTTGCTCCAAGATTTAAAGCCTTCTTTCGTGCTTCATCGAAACTTTCATCCTGACCAATGTTTGCCTAAAAAGACATTTTCATAATGAAAGTCAGTCACTACAAAGTCCACTGCTGATCATTATTATCTACAAGGATATTATCTTACTACTGCTGGTAATGATATTGGCTCATATCTGGATTGTTGAGAAATCTTTGTGAATTTCAAATTTAGGCCAAAATAGTTAAACAGAAAACATAGCTGACTTGGAGAAGGTCATCAAAATGACTATTTGGGCCTAAAATTTGAATTCACTTTGGATTCTGTTTGAACTTCTTAAAATTTACACTTTAATGAATGACACTTTATGTGTGACAGAAGAAAATAGAGCTCTGGAAATTATTATTATTATTGCCATTTATATAGCGCCAACAGATTCTGTAGCACTTTACAATATTATGAGAGGGGGGATTTAACTATAAATAGGACAATTACAAGAAAACTTACAGGAACGATAGGTTGAAGAGGACCCTGCTCAAACGAACTTACAGTCTATAGGAGGTGGGGTATAAAACCCATTAGGACAGGGAATAGCAATCAAATAAGGTGGGAGTGAGGCAGAGCTGGAGGAGAGAGTAAAGTGCTGCTCTTTAGGAGAGAGCAAGAGACAGGTATGTGAGGTAGAGGTTAGTCTGGGAGGTCATAAGCTTTCCTAAAGAGATGGGTTTTAAGGGACTTCTGAAACGATTGAAGACTAGGGGAGAGTCTGATGGTGGTAGGCAGGCTATGCCATAGGAAGGGAGCCGCCCATGAGAAGTCCTGCAAGCGTGAGTTGGCCGTACGGGTGCGAGCAGCGGACAGAAGAAGGTCACGGGCAGAGCGGAGAGATCGAGAAGGGGCATACCTGTGGATAGGTGAAGAGAGAAGAGAGGGGGGCTAGAATTGTTCAGTGCTTTACAGGTGTGGGTTAGCACTTTGAAATGACTACTATAGGATACAGGAAGCCAATGTAAGGACTGACAGAGGGGTGAGAGGACCGACTGTAGAGGAAAATCAGTCTGGCATCGGCATTCATTACAGACTGTAGCGGGGCAATACGGCTTTTGGGAAGACCAATTAAGAGAGGGTTACAATAATCCATGCGGGAAATTACTAGAGCATGGACAAGCTCCTTGGTAAAATCTCTATTTTTAAGATGGAATCTACAGGATTTGGCAACATACTGGATCTGAGGCTCAAAGGTGAGGCCAGAATCAAGTATGATGCCAAGCGCACTTGCAAGGATGGACTTATGTGGATACCACTAACTTGAAGGGAGAGCTAAAGAGGAGGATCAGTATTAGGAGGAGGAAAGACAAGGAGCTCAGTTTTAGAGAGACTGAGTTTCAGAAAGCAGGAGGACATCCAGTCAGAGATGGAAGAAAGACAAGCAGTGACACTTTGCAGGACAGAAGGGGAGACATCCAGGGAGGAGAGCTATATCTGGGTGTCATCAGCGTACAGGTGGTAGTGGAATCCAAATGAGGTAATAAGTTTGCCAAGAGAGGCAGTATGAAGAGAAAATAGAAGGGGACCAAGGACAGCACCTTGGGGGCCTCCAACTGAGACAGGACGAGGGGAGGAGGTATCATTAGAAAAGGAGACACTGAATGAGCGTTGGGAGAGATAAGAGGAAAATCACGAGAGGACAGAGGACAGAGTCACAAAGACCGAGTGATGGAAGAGTTTGAAGAAGGAGAGCATGGTTTTAAAGGCAGCAGAAGGGTCAAGAAGAATTAGTATGGAGTAGTGGCCTTTGGATTTAGCTGCAATTAGATTAGCAAGAGAAGTCTCAGTAGAGTGGAGAGGTTGGAAGACAGATTAAAGAGGGTCAAGAAGAGAGTTGGAATTGAGGAAGTGAGACATATGGGTAAAGACAAGTCTTTCCAGAAGCTTTGAGGAAAAAGGGAGCAGGGATATGTGACAATAGTTAGAGGGGGAGGATGGGTCAAAAGAGGTTTTTTTGCAGGATAGGTACTACAGTGGCATGTTCAAGGTCAGCAGGGACAACGCCAGAAGAGAGAGAGCAGTTGAAAATGTGTGTTAAGGAAGGCACAGGACAAGTGGAGAGAGATCTGATGAGGTGAGATGTGACAGGATCAAGCGGGCAGGTGGTGGGGCGAGAGGAAAGGAGAAGAGCAGCCACCTCTTGTTCAGCAGCCAGGGAAAAAGTTTGAAGGGTTGGAAAGGCATGATCTACGTGTGGTTGAGAAAGAGAACGGCAAGGTGGGGAGAATTCTTTCCCTAGCTGTTCAATCTTGTCGGTAAAGTAGCATGCAAAGCTATAGGCTGTAAGGTTAGTTTGGGGGATAGCAACAGCAGGGCGAAGAAGAGAGTTAAAGGTGACAAAGAGATGCCTGGGATTGCGGGAGCATGAACTAATAAGAGAGGAAAAGTATGACTGTTTGGCGAGGGCAAGGGCTGAGCTGTATTAACACAATATGAATCTATAATGGAGATAGTCTGCCTGGGTGTGAGACTTCCTCTAGGTGCGTTCAGCACAACAGGAGCATCTTTGCAGGTAGCGTGTTGATTTAGTATGCCACGGTTGGGGGCGTGTCCTCCTCGTGGTGCATGTTTGGAGTGGGGCTGCAGCGTTCAAAGCAGAGGTGAGGGTAGTGTTATATCTGGAGGTGTCCAGTGAGGGAGAGGGAAGGGATGGATAGCAGTTGTGAATCAATATCATCTGACAGCTGCTAGAATTAAGGTTCCTCCTAAGTTGAGGGGGGTTAGGCTGAGGTTGTTGGGTGAGGGGGATCTTGAGAGCAAATAATAAGAGGTGGTGACCAGAGAGAGGAAGTGGAGTGTTGCAGATATTATATACTGAACATGCATAAGAGAAAATTACAAAGGTATTGCCAGCTACATGGGTGGGAGAATTAGCCCACTGTGATAGCCCGAGAGAGGAAGTGATAACAAATCGAACGCATTGGAAGAGTATAAGATTTATGTATAATATCAAGTAGGGGGTGTGGTGGCTATAAGGAGATATTGCGAGAATTAAACACAAATTCTATGAAAGTTCCTTATTAAAAGAAAGGACGTCTCTAATGGATTCGTAAAATCTATAAGCGGCCTTGGGCATTTAAATGACCACTATAACAACGTACCAAAAACTTAAGATCATGACCTCGAAATGTAACCCTCAACACTTGGTACTTGAAAAACCGCGACTGTGGTTTCGATATCGATACCGATAAAGTATTCAATGTCAACTGGTCACCCATATCGAAACAAACTTGTACCCCACCCATTCTCTTCATTCTGCACCCTTCAATTCAAGTTGATAAAAATCGAAAAATAAAGAATTTATAAAAAAAAAAAAAAAAAGGACCACTATAGGCACACAGACCACTTCAGCTTAATGAAGTGGTCTAGGTGCCAGGTCCAGAGAAACTGCTATGTTTATAATAGGGTTAATCCAGCCTCTAGTGGCTGTCTCATTGACAGCCGCTAGAGGCACTTCTGTGCTTTTCACTGTGATTTTCACAGTGAGAAGACGCCAGCGTCCATAGGAAATAGGAAAGCATTCTGAATGCTTTCCTATGGACTGGCTGAATGCGCGCGTGGCTCCTGCCGCGCATGCGCATTCAGCCGAGGAGGAGGAGAGTCCCTTGCCCGGCGCTGGAGAAAGAGGTAAATTTAACCCCTTCCACCCCCTAGAGCCCGGTGGGAGGGGGGCCCTGATGGTGGGGGCACCCTCAGGGCACTATAGTGCAAGGAAAACATACATATAGTGGTCCTTTAAGCCCTTGGTATCTGCCACTCCATAGCACGTCTGGTAAGCCCTACATAGAGCGAAACGCGTGTCGGATGACATTTGTTCCTAATAATATGGTTCTGATTGCCATTATGGCATAAATAGAAATGGCTACAATTGGGGGGGGGTTTCTCTTCTTTTGGATCAACAGCATGAAATAATGGGTTTCATGGTTGAATTTGATGGACTTTAGACTTGTTTTCAACCTAGACAACTAAAGTTGCAAGAAAAAGTATGTGAACCCTTTGGAATGATATGGATTTCTGCACAAATTGGTCATAAAATGTGATCTGATCATCATCTAAGTCACAACAATAGACAATCACCGTGGAAGACACGGTAAGATTAAGAATTGTTGACTTGCATAAAGCTGGAAAGGGTTATAAAAGTATCTCCAAAAGCCTTGCTGTTCATCAGTCCACGGTAAGACAAATTATCTATAAATGGAGAAAGTTCAGCACTGCTGCTACTCTCCCTAGGAGTGGCCGTCCTGTAAAGATGACTGCAAGAGCACAGCGCAGACTGCTCAGTGAGGTGAAGAAGAATCCTAGAGTGTCAGCTAAAGACTTACAAAGTCACTGGCAAATGCTAACATCCCTGTTAGCGAATCTACAATACGTAAAACACTAAACAAGAATGGATTTCATGGGATGATACCACAGAGGAAGCCACTGCTGTCCAAACAAAACATTGCTGCACGTTTACAGTTTGCACAAGAGCACCTGGATGTTCCAAAGCAGTACTGGCAAAATATTCTGTGGACAGATGAAACCAAAGTTGAGTTGTTTGGAAGAAACACACAACACTATGTATGGCGAAAAAAAGGCACAGCACACCAACATCAAAACCTCATCCCAACTGTGAAGTATGGTGGTGGGGGCATCATGGTTTGGGGCTGCTTTGCTGCTTCAGGGCCTGGACAGATTGCTATCATCGAAGGAAACATGAATTCCCAGGTTTATCAAGACATTTTGCAGGAGAACTTAAGGCCATCTGTCTACCAGCTGAAGCTCAACAGAAGATGGGTGTTGCAACAGGACAATGACCCAAAGCATAGACGTAAATCAACAGAAGAAAATACGCCTTCTGAAGTGGCCCAGTCAGAGTCCTGACCTCAACCCGATTGAGATGCTGTGGCATGACCTCAAGAAAGCGATTCACACCAGACATCCCAAGAATATTGCTGAACTGAAACAGTTCTGTAAAGAGGAATAGTCAAGAATTACTCCTGACCGTTGTGCACGTCTGATCTGCAACTACAGGAAACGTTTGGTTGAAGTTATTGCTGCCAAAGGAGGTTCAACCAGTTATTAAATCCAAGGGTTCACATACTTTTTCCACCTGCACTGTGAATATTTACATGGTGTGTTCAATAAAAACATGGCAACATTTCATTCTTTGTGTGTTATTAGTTTAACCCCTTAAGGACGGAGCCAAATGTACACGTTGTGAACGAAACAAATGTAAACAAAACCTGGCATTTGCGCTACATGTCTGTCCAACCGTAATTCACCTCTTTCATATTAAATGCACCCACCCTTATTATATATCATTTTATTCAGGGGAAACAGGGCTTTCATTTAATATCAAATATTTAGCTATGAAACATAATTTAATATGAATAAAATGGGAGAAAATAAGATTTTTATTTTATTTTATTAGTTCTACATGACATTTTAACGGTCAATGTCATAATACTGTTTTCTTTTACTGAAATAGAATACACATATTTGTATTCAGCAAAGTCTCATGTGTAAAACAGTACCCCCTATGTACAGGTTTTATGGCATTTTGGGAAGTTACAGGGTCAAATATAGCACATTACATTTTGAAATTGAAATTCACTAGATTGGTTACGTTGCCTTTGGGACTTTATAGTAGTCCAGGAATGAAATTTACACCCATAATGGCATACCATTTGCAATAGTAGACAACCCAAGGTATTGCAAATGGGGTATATCCAGTCTTTTTAGTAGCCATTTGGTCACAAACACTGGCCAAAGTTAGTGTTAGTATTTGGTGTGTGTGTGTAAAATGCAAAAATCGCCAATTTTGGCCAGTGTTTGTGACTAAGTGGCTACTAAAAAAGACTGGACATACCCCATTTGCAATACTTTGGGTTGTCTACTATTGCAAATGGTATGCCATCATAGGGGTAATTTTCATTCTTGGGCTACCATAGGGTCTCAAAGGCAACGTACCCAATCTGGCGAATTTTAATGTGAAAAAAATGAAACACAAACCTTATATTTGACGCTGTAACTTTTGAAAACACCATAAAACCTGTACATGAGGGGTACTGTTGTACTTGGGAGACTTCGCTGAACACAAATATTTGTGTTTCAAAACAGTAAAAAGTATCGCAGCAATAATATTGTCCGTGTAAGTGCTGTTTGTGCGTGAAAAATGCAAAAAACTTCACTTTTACTGGCGATATCATCGTTGTAATACATTTTACTGTTTTGAAACACTAATATTTCTGTTCAGCGAAGTCCCCCGAGTATAACAGTACCCCCCATGTACAGGTTTTATGGTGTCTTGGAAAGTTATAGAGTTAAATATAGTGCTAGCAAATTTAATTCCCTTTACTTTCGGCATGGGTTGTCAGGCAGGTCCCGCTAATTGTAATTAATTAAGATACCCAATTATGTAAAAATATTACATAAATATATATGTAGAATTAATATATGTATATATATATACGTAAGTGATATATACGTATATATTTATGTATATAGATATATATTATTTCGTTCTACATGTATTTTGATATAAATATATATATATTAATATCACAATACAGTTAGAACGAAATAACACACATCTATATTTTTTTTATTATTTTTTTATTATTATTTTTATTTTATTTTTTAATGTATTTACATATTTAATTTTTTTATATTATATATAAATATATATATATAACAATAATTATATATATATTTAATCAGTATCAGTCTACGTGTAATTTGATATTAATATATATATATAATTATATATATATTAATAGTAAAATACACCTAGACAGTGTACGTGTGTGTATGTATATGTGTGTATATATACTTATATCATATATATATATATACATATATATATATATATATATCTAAGTATTTATTATAATTTTTTTTACACTATTTAATTTATTTTAATTTTATTTCTAGCCAGCAGGGGGACCACCTGTCATTACAGGCAGCCCCCCTGCTGGCAATACAGCAGCCAGCTATCCCGGCCATGTGATTGTGAGGTCCTCGCAAGGACCTCACTCTCACATGGCTGGGGGGGCTGCAGGAGGAAGATCTGCTGCGGGGGGCTCCCTGGGAGTCCCCCCAACCGCCGGCGTGGGATTGCCGGCGACCGGGTAAGTACAGAAAGACCGGAGGGCGTACTATAATAGGGCGTAATAGTACGCCCTCCGGTCTTAAGGGGTTAAGCAGACTGTGATTGTCTATTGTTGTGACTTAGATGATGATCAGATCACATTTTATGACCAATTTGTGCAGAAATCCATATCATTCCAAAGGGTTCACATACTTTTTCTTGCAATTGTATGTACCTTTGGTAGCTGTGTGCTATAAAATATGTAGGAATTTAGTATACGCTATGGTTTTTACCTGAGAAGGGACAACATCTCACGCCATCATTATTTTCTGGATGCATTTTTTTTTCCAGTATTTAGATTTAGCTAATCTATCGATTTCTGTTTAAACATGATTCCAAATCTTGGCATTGGGGTAAGTTTGTGCACGTTTCCACCATGCTGTGCTTGGTAAAAATGCCTTCATTCTGCAAGTCTATATACTGTGCCGCCCGCCTAGTAAGAATTAAAGAGGCATGGTATATTTACCAAAACTGCATCATTAAAATACAGTTTTAGTTTTATACTATCATTTTAATGAATAAAGGTTGTGGTTTTACTGCATCAGTTAATTTTACTTTTAAAAGATAATAATAAAAACACATTGAACCTAATACACTAAACTGGGCATGTTAGATAGCTGTCAAGGGGATTGCAAATTCTAAAAAAAAATCCAACTCTCCAAACCAAAACAGGTTTGTGTGGTGTTCTGCAGTCTGTAATAATTAATTTGTAAGCACGTTTTGCACTGTTTTTGCTGGTTTGCTACGACTTACTCCCTTTTTGACATCAGTTTTTAACCCTTTCAATACACAGGGTGAGTAAATAGCTTTATTTTACAGCCTACTTTGTATGCCGATTTTGTTAGAGATTAATCAAAATATTAAAAGGGGGAAAAAAAGCCTTAGATATAAAAAGGGTTATATAACTAGAGGATGGTTTTATATGCTGGATTTAAATTTTATTTTAAAAAAAACCTCTTTCCGTTTCTTTAGTTTGCGTATTGTTGTGTGTGTGTTCTGAATCATTTTCAGTGTGTGCAAAGGCTGCCAATGAGGGATTACCCTAGGTGTGTCTGTAATAAGAAGGAAGTCAGATTTTGATCAGGTTTAGCCGCAGGAAATAGCTCACCAGATAAGCGATGACATCATATCCCTGCTCCTTCAGCCACACCAATATGCAGGATGTGTCCAAACCGCCGCTGTATGCCAGGACTACAGTGCCTTTTGCCTGTGACATGTTGCCTGTGAAAAACAAAACGGATCACTGTTATGGTGGTTCTCATGCAGATGCATGTACCTTTAAATTGTAATTTAAACATCAGCTATATTTAAAAAATGATTCAATTTAATAGTCACACAACACTGTTAATAACCTCTCAAGTCCATGAACAGGGACACGTGTGTACAAACAACAGACAGTGGATTTGAGTCTTCTACCAGTTTCTAAAGAGATAAAATAGGCAACGAGTCATGAGACCCAGCAATGTCAAAAAAGGAGACCAGGCAACAAAATGACAAGTCCTTCCATTTACGCACACACATAAATGCAAACATAAACATACAATATTAAGCCCTGCACTCAAATTCACACTAATCCTGGAAGGCAGCAATGACTATTGTACACATCACATACAATAAAAAAAAAAAACAAAGAAAAAAGTTACTTACGCACTATTCAAATCCCTCTGCACATTTTAAAAAAACTGACATACACACAAAAACCACACATTCACTCAAACACAGAAAGTCCCCAAAGGCCGTTTGAGTTGACAGAAATTACAACTGATCAATATTACCGATTGGTTCGTTCACGGATTCTTGAGAAACGGATCAATGTGATGGCGGGAAGTTCTCACGGTTCAAGGAGTGGGCTGAGAACAAAAGAAATAGAAAAATAACATACTCTGGATTCTTGTAGATCGAATAGAGATTTGCAGGTGATTGTTTACGGATTGAAAACCAATCAATAGTCTTTATAGGCCATAGATACACACATCAAGGATGATAAACTCACTTGGTAACTATTGGAAGGGTTAAACACGTGAGGTTGAGCATATAGTATAGGAATGTTTTAAAAGCTCTGCAATGTATTGACTAGCTGATGGTATATATAAATAATAACATAATAATAATGGTCCGAATCCTAAGCGTTTAAAAACACATGAATGGCATTTGCTTATCCAAATTTCAGTAATTTCAACAAAATTATTATTATCGTTAAACTATAGCCAAAAGCCACATGAGGTTAAAAATCAGCTGAATGTGTACATAGGTTTGTTAATTCAGTTATTCACAAACAGCTAACTTGCAATTGGATAGTCTTCATATGTTTGATGAAATTCTCTGATAAAGGTGGTGATTTTGATATATGAAATTTGCAAGCACTAGCGGGTAAGACACGTGGAAGGGCTGAGGGAAGAATTAAGACACATGTGCAGCTGGGGTGAATGAGACACATGGGGAAAATTAGGAACTGGGGGGGAGAAGAGACTTACAAATGTGGCTATGGAGAGAAAGAGAAACAGAGGGGCTGGGAAGGGGGGGGGGCAAGGATCCACAGATGGGCTGTGAAAGGGGCAAAAGAGATAGACCTGGGCTTGGGAGAGACACCTAGAGGGGCTGGGGGGACAGAAAGAGACACAGAGGCACTGGGGAAGGGGCAAAAGAGACATAGACTTTAACTAAACCCATTAGATTTTAGTCAGGTCGACTAAAATCTACTGGAGATTTAGTAGACTAAAACAATTCAGATGACTAAAACTAAAATGGCGTTTTAGTCAAAAGACTGACTAAAACTAAATTGGAATTTCCTGTCAGAATTAAAGGGACACTATGGCCACAGAACAACTACAGCTTAATGTATTTGTTCTGGTGAGTATAATCAGTCCCTGCAGACGTTTTCCGGTAAACACTGCTTTTTCAGAGAAAAGGTGCCCCCTAGGGACACCTCCAGTTGCCACTAGAGGCGCTTCCTGGGTCAGTGCTGCACATCAGCATCTCCACACTCTGCATGGAGACACTGAACTGTCCCCATAAAGATGTGGTGGTAATACTATCTCTAGCTACAAGCCAGATTTATATGTAGGATACACATGAGTACTTTATATCTATAATAGATCACTTTCTCTAGCTGATCTTTTAATAACTTTTATTAGGGTTTAATTTTTTTCTTGTTAAATTTCTTTTCTTGGTGATGAACATTTTAAAGGGACACTATGGTCACCAAAACAACTAGAGCTTATTGTATTTGTGCTGGTGAGTATAATCATTCCCTGTAGGCTTTTTGCAATAAACACTGTCTTTTTAGAGAAATGCAGTGTTTACATTATAGACTAGGGCAGGGGTAGGCAACCTTCGGCACTCCAGATGTTTTGTACTACATCTCCCATAATGTTCTTACAGCCATAATGCTAGCAAAGCATCAAGGGAATTTTAGTCCACAACATATGGGGTGCTGAAGGTTGCCTCCACTAGCCACTCCTCAGATGGCCATTAGATGTGCTTCCTGGGTCGGTGCTGCACATAGTGTTGATGTTCAGCATCTCCACACTCTGCATGCAGACACTGAACTCTCCACATAGAGGTGCATTGATTCAATGCATCTCTATGAGGAGATGCTAATTGGCCAGAGCAGCATTTGGCTCTGCTCCCGCCTCTTTGGCTGAGATCACCAGACTTGACGATCTCAGCCAATCCAATGCTTCCCTCTAGAATAACATTGGATTGGCTGAGATTGCCAGCTTTGATCAGCAGCGCTGGAATAAAGGTACTTTTTCTACCATTTTAAGGGGGGCAGGGAGGCTAACATGATTTTTTTTAGCACTACAAGGTCAGAAATACACGTTTGTTATTTAAAAAAAAAGAAATAAAAATTTTGAATTTTGTCATTTGCTTGTCACCTGTCCGCAGTATCCCTTAGGGAATAAAACTCTGTTATTTCTAAAGAATCCAGCTAACTGCGTAATATTAAAAATCTTCCTACGCAGTAGTTAGGATTAGATAAGGGACTTTACGGGGAAACAGAGCAGGAAATTAAAATGTTGAAATTCCTTGATAAAATCCTGTTTGGTGCAATGTTCAGAGACACAGAGCAGTTTCACCAATTATTAGACTGTATAGAGATCCTTCCTTCTCTACAGTCGTTTTTTTTGAAACCAATTATTTGCCAGGGGAACAAGAAAAACATTGCTCGCTCTTTGGCACTGGCTAAAGTAACACTTTAAGTCTCAATTTGTTTTTGTCTGTCATAGAGGTAGGAACACACCATCCCTTCTGAATTTGGACTGAGTACATTTCTGGCACTACCATAAAATAGATACATGAAGATGTGACCTGGTGTGCACGTATGACATATTTGTGCGTTACCAGTCATTCATCTCTGTACCACTGTGGCGAAACCGGCCTCGCCACGTGTCCTTGGAGGGGGCTGCTTGCCCGCCTCTTGCCTTTGGACTATGGACCAGACTTTATGTGAAGTTATTAACCCAGATAGCTATGCCATGGAGCCCATTCGTGTAGTTGAACTGTGTGAATAGGATCTGAGCGCTATTCGGTAGTTTTGTGCGCTCAGATCCCAGCTATCTGGGGATATGTGACATGTCCGTGTTTTATGTATAAAATGTGACTTTATGTATTTTAAAGTGTTTTGTGTCTTTTTGCAACCATGTGCTTAATGGAGTCTTGTTTCTGTCCTGGGAGATAATTGAATTACTCTCCAGGATAGAAGACTCTGAAACTGGTTTGGGCCGGAAAGCCATGCTTCATTTAGTCACAAAGGACTTTCCCTTAACTTTTGAACCCCTGGTCTGATTCGTGCCATTTTTTAATATGTTGTTCCCCTGAATGGATTGATTATGAAAATGTAAGTTTTATGTATGTACGATGTTAACTCACAAAGTTATAAAAATGTACAAAAAGTAACTTTTCAGCTTGGAGATAATTGAGTAGATACAGTAATTGACTCAATTATCTCCTAAGCAGAGGGGAGGAATATGCTGGGTGTGTTTCTATTGTCCCATTGTGTCTGATTGGCTGCTGTACTTGCATTGTATGTGTTGTAATGTGTTTATTGGTGGTTCTGCAAAACCCTGTGGGCAGTACTAGGTTTTGTGGATTGTAATAAAAACCAGGCTGGGTGTGCCAGCACTCGAGTTCCTGTTTTAACCCTCAAAGTGAAGTGTCGTCTCATTATTGGGGGAAGGATTTATTGTATGCTGTTCCAGTTTGACTGCTAGGAGAGTAAACCTATTCGTATGATTCCTATTCAACTGTCTACAGCATTCTTATGCTTGAGAGAAGGTATACGCTTCTCTGGTTCGGTGATTGTGGTGTCTGCTGCAGTGCTTGGAGTCCTCAGGAAGCGCTAGGAGCATCTTTCAACGGAGGTACCCAGTCGGGGTGCCAGGCGATCCGTTACAACCACCTTGTATTTTTTCTTCTTATTTGGGCAGTGAAGTGTTCCTTTAAAGGGACACTGTAGGCACCCAGATCATTTCAGCTCATTAAAGTGGTCTGGGTGCCAACTCCCATCACCCTTAACCCTGCAAGTGTAATATTGACAGTTTTTATAAACTGCAATAATTACCTTGCAGGGTTAAGTCCTCCTCTAGTGGCTGGGACTAGGGACTTCCGGATTCTTAGAAGACTTTTGGTTGTCTGCAATTGCAATTGCGTCACTGCAATCCCTATAGGAAAGCATTGAATAATGCTTTACTATGGGGAGGTCTAATGCGCGCCTGGCCATTGCCGCGCATTAGGTCTTCCCCGTTGGTGGAAGTTAGCGGGGGTAGAGCGTGGTCGAAGCCTGACCCAGCACCAAGGGTTTTAACCCCTTTAGCGACATGGGATGGGGGCACTCCAGGATTCTCTAGTGCCAGGAAAACGGGTTTGTTTTCCTGGCACTAGAGAACCCCTTTAACTCCTTAAGGACCAAACTTATGGAATAAAAGGGAATCATGACACGTCACACATGTCATGTGTCCTTAAGGGGTTAAGCTCAAAAGGACACCTTATAACTGCTGACAATAGGCACCCCCTGGTGGATAGGTGCCTGCAGGCAGAAACCTACTCTAGCCAGAAAATCTAGCCATGGGTATGAAAACATGCATAAAAAGTAAAGTTGTGAGGAAAAAAAGGAACATTTTATACACAATTAGTTTGCATAGGTAGTACATGGAAAGCTGTGGGGTCCACTGAACCTGTAGAGTCTGAGTTCTACAAAAAGTACAACTGAGGAAAAAGCTGTGGGTTCTGGTGAACTTTTTCCAGGGTTTATAATCTCCCATTCACCAACCTCTTTATGTCTTATTTTGCCGGCCCTGTCACAGTTTTGAGGGTTGTATCTTCTCCAGTACATTCTCACAAGGACAACACAATGCGACCACCAGTTAGGAAATGGGGGTTCCTGTTATTGCGAAAGGTACCCCACTTTAATCCAGTCTTGGGGTCGAGGTTTTATTGTGGCAGAAGGCGTTTGAGAATTATGGAAGCATAATCCATAATTAATACAAATTTTTAAAAATGGAAACCGTTATTTTAGTTTTCTCTCTCCCAGACAGTGTTTATTAGAAGCTGAGCTAATAATTTATTCCTCGATAGTCTGCAACATGCTGTATCTCTCTATTTGCTGTAGTGAAACTCGTCGTCACCTTGAAACAGTAATAAATTTCAGGTCGTTTATTGCTCTTTGAAGATTCGAAGCACAAATATAATCGTTAGCACTTTTACTGCTGAACTGCATCACTCGATGTCAGAGGACAAGAGGCAACGTTCCTAAACAGAAACACTATGAAATAATGACATCGCTGGTTGTAAGCATCAATATCCCTTTAAAAGCTTAATTATCAAGAGATGATATAATTGTATAGGCTGTAGTATCAATTGTTTACACAAACAGTGTGGTTTATCTATTTCTTTGTTGAATTTGCATTCACATTTCCACTGTGGCTCTCTTACTGGAGATTGCATTATGAAAATCATTAAAAGCAAAATGTTGCTGGGAAAGAAACTGATTTTGAAAAAGGTTATGGTAAGTATTTACTTTAATTTGACAACAAAACTCTTTTCTCATGAGGGTCTGACACAGTACTCGTATTACCCCCAAATCATCAATGACAAACTGGATACACAGAGACCCTACCTGTAGAATGAAGGGGTTATCAGCCTTTTTGCTAGTCACTTAAAGGATCAGTTTCAGCACCATAACAACTTAATCTGAATTAATTTTATATGGTGCCATGAGGCCCCCGGATCACTCTTTTATTAAGGGGTTAAACCATTCTCGAATAGTTTAACTTCAAAGTTGCCTCCATCGCCAATCCTGTTTCTGAAATTTCAGTTTCAGGAAATGCAGAATGTTGCCGGGCAGGGGAGCTGCTGATTGGCTGAGAGCGGTCACCTGTCAGCCAATCAGTGACTTCACATTCATAAAACTGGCTTTGAAATGTAAGTCTCTTTCATAACCAGTGTTGGGAATGGGAAGTCACTGATTAGCAGGGAGCGTCAGTGAAGTTGTTTTGGTGCCTAGAGTGCCCCTTTAAAGGAACACCCCAAGCACCATAACCACCACAGCTCACTTGACTTCCTACCTGGTGTCCGCAGGCTGCTTCTCAGTTACCAGGAGAGATGGAAGCTCCTGCTTAGGAGTCTGTTGGCTCCTTCAAGCTAAGCCCTGCAGGGTAGAGGTAGCTCATTGGCTGAGCATTTTAGCTAGGTTTAACTCTGAAGTAGTGGAGACGGGGAGCAGTGCATGGCTGACCGAGGTCAGAAGTGAAACCATTCTAAAACAGTGTGACTATGTTCCATTTGGAGACGGGGAGAGGGCAGGTCACTCATGGCACCATAACCACTACAGAAAGTTTTACTGGTTATGATTCTTGGCATCTTCCTTTTTCCTTTAATTGTGCAATTAAAGAGAGCTCTGACATTATTTTGCACATGAGAGAGCAGTTTGTACAATCTCATGTCTAATGTAAGCACATATCATTCTCATGTGTCCCAAAACGGCGTTGCACTGGTTTTGATAACAAAATCATTATCCTTCTGGATAATTCACTTTAATTATATAAATGTATAAATGCCAAAACGAGAACGTTATTAAAGAGACACAATGATGTTACTACAGGGGTAGGCAACCTTTTAGCAGTACTGTGCCAAATGGAGATTTTGAAGTCCATTGGAGTGCTGGTACTATTTTTGTTAAATTGAGTGTGTATGTTGCCGTATTCTGCTTGTGTTATTTGTGGGTGCTGCAGTTGCTCTGTAGCATTGTATTTGTGCCTATGTGGGCTGTTACATTGTATAGAATTAGTTCATGGGTAGTTTGTGACATTTTGTATGATACCTATGAATGTGAGCTATGTATAGGGGCTGCTTGTGGAATTGTGTGTGGATGAAATGTCACATTGTGTGTTTGGTTTGGGTATATGTGTGTTTGTCCGTGTATGTGGACAGTCCATAGTGTTGTGTTTGTGGGGACTGTGTTTGTGTGTGGACTGTTTCTATTATTTGTATAAGTGAGAGGCATATTAGCTAGCAAGGTACAGGTGAAGGGCAGGAGCTGCAATAGCTGCTGCAGGTTGCTCTACTCCAGTGCGGGGTTTCGTTCACCAATGCTGGCATATAGTGATCTGAGATCACTTCCTCTAAATGCTGCAATGCATAAATTGAAGATTGTCCTTTACCGCCTGCAATCACCACCCGGTTTACACACGTGCCGTAGGTTGCTGACCCCTGTGTTACTGCATTAAAAAGAATTATGGGTAGATAGAGGAGCTTTTTTTCTGGCAAGAATTATGGGAGTTACAATCCACAGCATGTTAAAGGCAGGTATCCCCAAGACACCTTTAACCCTAAGACACCTAAATGCTAAATACCCCTAACCCTTAAAACTTCTAGCATTGTGTTATAAACAGTACCGTTGCTATGATGTAGTGCTGGTGCATTTTGATGAAAACATATCTCAGACTTATAAACTTTCCAATTGAATGTCATGACTTAAAATGTGTACATTGAAGGCTCAGTGACACATAGCAGACTTGTGGGAAACAAAGCAAAATTTGTGGTACCCTGTGTAGTATACAGATCTCAGCAATTTCAAAGCTCACAGAATGTAACAGTTTTAAAAAAAAACAATTTTTTACAACCCTAACCTAGGCAAAAATAATGGGGGTTTAGTTACAATATATGATCACACAATGCATAAGCCTGCCACAACACCAATGTACCCCATTTTAGGCAGGTTCTATTCTAGAACCTAACGTCCAGAGCCAGGGCTCCCATCAGAAATTTTGAGGCCCCTAACAAAACTCCCCCTGGGTCTGCCCATAGGGCTCTTCAGGGCCGGACTGGGGAAAAAATTTGGCCCAGGCATTTTTAATTACAGCGGCCCACTGAAAAGGGGGCGGGCCAGATAGGGTGTGTTTTGTCATCCCCAATGACAAGCACGCCCCATCTCAAAGTGAGCATGTTGGTTCAATGCTCTTCCAGGGCATGAGAAAAGGGCCCTGTATTTGATCTGCACAGCGCAAGCAAATTTAATAACATACTTGCATTGTGTTTGCTTGAAACTTGTCTCAGGGGTTTCCATAATTGGAATACTCACTGTATCACATTTATGGAGACACTATGTGTTTGCTTAAAGGGTATCTAGTGTGTTCATAGGGGATCCTGAGTGTGTATGTCAGAAATGTAGTGTGTGTGTAAGTGGTGCAGCATCTGTGTGTAGGGGATCTAGTGTGTGTTTGAAGGACTCAGGAGTGCGTATAGGAGATCTAGTGAGTGTGTGAGTGGTGCAGTGTGTTTGGGGGGTGCTGTGTGTGTGAGGGGTGTAGTGTGCATTTGTGAGGAGTATAGTGTGTGTGGGAGGGTGCTGTGTGTGTGAGGGGGTGCAGTATGTGTGTGGGAGGGTGCAGTATATGTGTGAGGGGGTGCAGTATGTGTGTGTGAGGGTGCTGTGTGAGGGCGCTGTGTGTGAGGGCGCTGTGCATTTGAGGGTGCTGTGTGAGTGAGGGTGATGTGTGTGTTGGGATGCTGTGTGTGTTGGGGTGCTGTGTGTGTTGGGGTGATGTGTGTGTGTGTGCTAGGTTGCTGTATGTGTTAGGGTGCTGTGTGTGTGCTAGGGTGCTGTGTGAGTGCTAGGGTGCTGTGTGAGTGCTAGGGTGCTGTGTGTGTGTTAGGGTGATGTGTCTATGTTAGGGTGCTGGTGTTAGGGTGCTGTGTGAGTGTTAGGGTGCTGTGTGTATGTTAGGGTGCTGTGTGTGTGCTAGGGTGCTGTGTGAGTGCTAGGGTGCTGTGTGTGTGTTAGGGTGATGTGTCAATGTTAGGGTGCTGGTGTTAGGGTGCTGTGTGAATGTTAGGGTGCTGTGTGTGTGTTAGGGTGCTGTGTGAGTGCTACGGTGCTGTGTGTGTGTTAGGGTGATGTGTCAATGTTAGGATGCTGGTGTTAGGGTGATGTGTCAATGTTAGGGTGCTGATGTTAGGGTGCTGTGTGTGTGTTAGGGTGCTGTGTGAGTGCTACGGTGCTGTGTGTGTGTTAGGGTGATGTGTCAATGTTAGGGTGCTGGTGTTAGGGTGCTGTGTGTGTGTTGGGGTGCTGGTGTTAGGGTGCTGTGTGTGTGTTAGGGTGCTGTGTGTGTGTGTTAGGGTGCTGGTTGAGGGTGATGTGTGTGTTTGCAAGGATTTTGTATTGGGGGAGGCAGGTAGGTGTTTTACTAAAAAATAATAATAAATACATAATAATAAAAACAAATAATAATAAATACATAATAATACATACTAATAAATACATAATAATAAATAATAATAATAAATACATAAAAATACATACTAATAAATACATACTAAATAATAATAATAAATACATAATAACACATAATAACACATAATAATAATAAATACATAATAATACATACTAATAAATACATAATAAGTCTTACTGCTGCCAGCCATCCCTGGTGGTCCTCGTGGTAAGTGAACTCTAGCGCATGTGGGCCGGTGAGGGAGATCTTTGATCTCCCCACCGGCCCTTCATGGAACACAGCGGGGCCGGCGCTCGGATAGTGCCGGCCCTGCATAGACCGGCAGGGGATGTCCTGAGACCTCCCCTGCCGGCCTCGGCCCGTGGCCACCGCGGCCCACCGGGCATCTGCCCGGTGTGCCCGATGGCCAGTCCGGGCCTGGGGCTCTTTCTGAGTCCGCCCACAAGGATTCAGGACTGAATGTGGTTTGTATAGTAGATGTAGAATTAGAATGTGTGTAATGGATGCAGAGTGTGTGTATAATCAATGCAGTGTGTTTATGTATGGTGGATGTAGTGTGAGTATAGTGAATGCCGAATGTGTGTGTAGTGGATGCTGTGTGTATAGTGAATGCAGAGTGTGTGTTAGGGTAGTGGATGCAGATTGTGTGTTAGGGTAGTGAATGCAGAGTGCAGGGGAGGGCTGGCAGCCTCCAGTCAAGTGGCCCATTGCACCCCCGAATCAGCTCACCATCCATGCCCACCTTTTCATGGTTTTATAACGGATATTGATGTTATGCTAATCAGTAGCTCTTTGCCATACCCACTTCTTTGCGGCTCTGACTTTCAATGTTGCTAGAGCGCAGGCCAAGAATCTCTGAGCCTGTGCTCTGACTCACTAACTGAGCACCGGAGCCACAAGGGGGAGCGTGCTGAATACAGTCACACACCGACTGCTGAATACATACACACACCGACTGCTGAATACACGCATACAGACTGATGAATAGACACACACACAGAGACTGCTGACTACACACACAGACAGACTGCTGAGTACACATAGAGAGTCCTGAATATATACACACAGTCCGCTGAATACAAACACACACAAACATACACACAGACGGCTGAATACATACACAGTTCGCTGAACACACACACAGACTGCTGAACACACACACAGACTGCTGAATACACACACTGCAGTGAGGGGTGCAGTGTATGTGTTTGTGTGTACAGGTGCAGTGTGTGTGTGGTGCTGTGTGTGTGTGGAGTGCTATGTGAATGTGGGGTGCTGTGTGTGTGTGTGTGTGGAGTGCTAAGTGAGTGGGGTGCTGCGTGTGTGTGGAGTGCTATATGTGTGTTGGGGCTGTGTGTGTGTTTGAGGGGTGCAGGTAGCAAATGTTTTTTTGTTTTTTTAATGCTACTATACATTAAATAAAATCTATATGTACCCCCACCCTTCTTCTTACCTTTGGTGAAAGAGGCTGGGACACAGCCAGCCGTGGTGGTCCAGTTGTGAATTCTGTACAGCCTGCAGCTTGTCTGGCTGCAGCCTGTCTCCTGTCCTCCTGCGCGCTGAATGCTGTGTGGAGCATTGCCATGGTAATGTGCGGCACCGCTCCACACAGCCTGCTTGCGGGAGGAGCGATCTGCCTTACAGGTCAGCCTCTCCTGCAGCCCTGGGTCCTAGCTACCTCTCTCCCAGAAAACTGTCGTCCGGGCATGCTGGGCAGCGTGGTAGGGCCCCCATGCCTGTTGGGCCACGGGCAACTGCCCAGCATGCCCATGCGGAAAGACGGCCCTGACAGACACACACTCACTTCCAGACACACACACACTTCCAGACACAGACACACACACACACTTACTGACAGACACACTTACTTTCAGACACACACACTCCCTTCCAGACACACATGCACACACTTCCAGGCACACACGCACACACTTCCAGACAAACAGATACACACACACACACTTACTGACAGACACACACTCACTTCCAGACATACACACACTCACTGTATCATCAAATCTGGAAGTGCACTCAGCTCCTCACTAAGGAATCCAGGGTGCTCTTGAAAAAGTCCCAGTACCCAAAAGGACCAAGCAGATACATTTGTAGAAAATGATCAAGGCACTCCAATTGTTTCCAATTTTTAAGGCAATTTATTTGGACCAGGAACTACAAAGCTTTGTAGTTCCTGGTCCAAATAAATTGCCTTAAAAATTGGAAACAATTGGAGTGCCTTGATCATTTTCTACAAATTTATATACACACACTCACTGACAGAAACACACACACACACACACACACACACTCACTGATAGACACACACACACTTCCAGACACATACTCACTTACTGACAGACACACAGTGTTGCTCCTACCTTCAGAAGTCCTCTGGGGCCTCTCCCCAGGGTCCAGTGTCTTCGATGATCTTCCTGCTCCTTCGTGCAGTTTAGTGATGCGGGGCCGGAATTACGTCATATTCCGGCTCCCGGCATCACCAGAGAGGGCGTGCGAGGAAGCAGGAAGATCATCAGCAGAGGCAGTGCTCCCTTGCCGTCGCCTTCCTCCTTCCACACTCCATTCTGGTATAGTGCTGCAGAGTAGGCACCTGCCATATGGGACAAGCAGGTGCCTACTCTGCCTTGCTACCGGGCGCCCTAGGTGGCCAGCTGGCCACCTGCTGGGCTTCCTGTGACAGGCCATCGGCCTGCTCAGCGCGGAACCACCTTCCTCCTGGCGCCCAGGCCTTGCAGCGCCCGTTTTTCAAACGATTTAAGGCAGCCTGGGGGGCAATTGCCTCCCGGCCCCCTGGCCCAGCCCAACCCTGGCAGAGTGTGTGTCAGTGTAGTGTATGCAGAGTGTGTGTGTTGTACTAGTGTATGCAGAGTGTGTGTCAGTGCAGCGTATGCAGCGTGTGTGTGTTGTCCTAGTGAATGCAGAGTGTGTGTTGTACTAGTGTATGCAAAGTGTGTGTCAGTGTAGTGTATGCAGAGTGTGTTGTACTAGTGTATGCAGAGTGTGTGTCAGTGTAGTGTATGCAGTGTGTGTTATACTAGTGTATGCAGAGTGTGTGTTGTACTAGAGTATGCAGAGTGTGTGTCAGTGTAGTGTATGCAGAGTGTGTGTTGTATTAGTGTGTGTAAATGTGCAAACTAGGGCCTGCAATCTGCGGGGGAAAAGGGGGCATTTTTTTCACATTAATTTTAAATTAAATTTACGTAAATGTTATTCCCCCCCTCCCTGCTTCTTACCTGTGTCCAGGGAGGGGGATGGGATTCCATTCCCTGGTGGTCCGGTGGCATGGTGGGGCCCTGGCACACTGCGCCTGCCCATTCAGCGCCTCTCTCCCATTAACTCTAGCGAGCGTTGTCAACCCCTGATGGCGGCCCTGCCCAGAGCCGTTACTGGTGGGGTGCTGACCGCCCAGGTGCTTTGTAAATAGGCTCAGTTCCTCATGTAGATCCCACCCCCTCTTGTTAGGCCCCACCCCTGCATGTTCCGGTGACTGCAGCCCTCTTGGATTAACAAATATATATATATATATATATATATCATTATTATTATTGCAATTTTTATAGCGCCAGTTTATTCCGCAGCGCTGTATAATATTATTAATATGGGGAAATTTTACAATAAATGAAACAGTTACAAAATGTTACAGGAACAACAGGTTGATGAGGTCCCTGCTCAAACAAGACACAATCTAAAGGATGTGGGGTAAAAAAAACACAACAAGAAGGGAATTGATGGGGATAGCAAGCAACTAAGCAACAAGGTGGGAATGTAGCAGAACTGGATGTGAGAATGGAGTGTGGTCCTTTTGGAGAGAGCAAGAGACAGGTTTGTGAAATAGAAGTCACCCTGGGAGGCCATAAGCTTTTCTGAAGAGATAGGTTTTGAGGGACTTCTGAAACGATTGAACACTAGGCTGCAGGTATAAATTGACACATTTATTGGATCCAAGTGTCCAGCAACGTTTCAACCAAAGAAGGTCTTTTTCAAGCTTTTTTGGTCGAAACGTTGGTGGACACTTGGGTCCAATAAATTTGTCTATTTATACTTTGGAGTGCCTGGGCCTCTCTTCTTTGACTACTGACTACATTTGTGGGCTTTCTGCTTGTTCGGTTGCACCTAAGTATGTGAATTGAGTGCAGTTCTTGACTTTGGGGTAGGTAGGCTGTCTGAAAGGAAAGGAGCCATCTGCGAGAAGTCTTCTAAGCTCATTTTAGCCATAAGGGTGCGAGTAGCCAACAGGAGAAGGTAAGTATATAAAGCAAAATGAAAATTTTTATATTTAGGTATTTTCCTATGGCAAACAGGTGCCCGTATGCAACTGCCTAAACTGTGTACTGTGCAATGTATTTGTGCTCAGTGTGCTCCCTGACATATTGCCTAGTAGTGGCCTTTTTATTCGGGAAACTGATAAAGAAATAGAGTTGGATAGGCACTGGAATAAAGGGCAGTACACAAAGTTAAAAAGTAAAAAGGAACTTTGATCCTGTTCAAAGCTCGCTCTGAAAACAATAAAGCGCGGGAAAAGTTAAAGTCACGTATAAATAAGAGCCTTTGCCCCTAAACAGTATGTAAAGGAATAATGTAGAGCAAAATCACGTGTACTCTGGAAGTAGAGTTAGAGTTATAACCTATATAGTGAGCACGTTAAGCAGTTTCATTGCTCATAATGTTCTACCAACCAAAAGGTATTTAATCTGGTAAAAGTTTAGAAGTGCATCATGGGAGATGTAGTCCATAGCATCTGTTAAGGCAGAGATTTCAAACCTTTGGTATAAAACAAAACAACGGAATCTTCAGGCATTTAACAATATTCTGGACCCTTTATAACAACAAGTCTCCCACGTGAAATTAGCTTATACAACAAAGATAAGTCATCTACATATTGTGCCGCAGTGTGACATCTTGATAGGCCGCTGTACAGCCCAACGCAATATACTGACATAAATTATCTTAAAACAGTGTGCCACAGACATAAGATAAAAGAGGCCATTGAGATAGATAGACTGACGGCAAAAATCCATGAAACTTTCAAACATTTTCATAAGATTTGTGACCCATAACTAAATGAATCACAGCTCACAAAATAAGAAGCTATTGCCAATAGGTACTGTGAGACACTAGACCCAATTCACTATTTTACAAGTCCAATAAAGGCATATCGAAGGAGTCGTGAGAGATGGAAAAACGTGTTTGTTTCTAGTTTTTTTCGTTTCTTTGCCTAGTTCTGTTTTATTATGACATTATTTACGTTTGAACCTCCAATTTCAAATAGTACGTTGTGCACAAAATCACGCAACCCCCACTCTGTCCCAAGCACACATGAACCTTTAACTGCTAAACTGGTTTCCCTGAATAAAAAAACTACAAAAAAACGGTTACTCTAGTATTCATGTGAACGTCTACTTTCCATTTCGGAGGAATGAAACCTTTCAAATGTATACCAAAATGCTTCTATACGTCACATGAACCTGATGAAAATAAATGTATTATTTGTACACACATAATATCATGTGCTCCTTGTACCATTACTGGTTTTCGTATGCAACATATCAAAAAAGAATTTTAAAAAACCAAAAACTGTGTGTCCGTTCTTGCTAGTTTCTCCAAGACTCAATCAGTTAGGATATTAAGCTCGTAATTGATTTAAACACCTGTAAAACAAGACCCAAACATGTTTTGTGAGTTTGTCTTTGTTGAGAAATTTAGAGGATAATTTCACAGGCTGGCAATGACAAGTCAGGAAATGCCCGGGGTGTTTAAAACTTTACAAGAAATCGCAAAGCGTTTGATGTGCACTTGTTTTACAACTATTTTTTTCCATTTTAGATGACACTGAAGTTACCGAGCTTTGAACATTCCCTAACTTAACCCCTTAAGGACCAAACTTCTGGAATAAAAGGGAATCATAACATGATGGGGCCTTCAGGCCCCGATGCTGCCGTTCCACTGCTGTTGTAGGCAGAGAGCTGCCATTCCTGCTTAAAGCGGCTCTGCCCCCCAAGTACCTTTCTACTATTGTTTCCTCTTCTCTTCCTCTCTCAGAATCTGTTATTCTTTTCTTCATTTCTGTTTTATTTGTCTTTAAAACATAAAACAAAGGAGGGGCTACTTTGTCTTATGTATTTTTCCTACACTTGACACCAGGGACGTATTAGCCGCAAGGGCGGCATTTTTCAGGGGGCGGCAAAAAACGCCGCCCCCCAAATGCCTAGTTAGCCTCGCGGCTAACTAACATGCCGGGCAGGCGGCTGGTGAGGGAGCATTTCCCCTGAGCTGTCTGCTCAGCTCCCTCACGCACCGCAGAGTGAGGCTGGGAACCGGGATATGACGTCATATTCCGGCTCCCAGCCTCACTCTGAGGCGCGCGAGGGAGCTGAGCAGACCGCTCAGGGGAAGTGCTCCCTCGCCAGCCGCCCGCCCAGCATCCAGCCCATCAGCCCCACCGGCAGCCACTGGACCCTCAGGGACAGAGACCCCCCCTCAGCATTCCCAAAGGTAAGGAGGCAGGGGGGAGGGGTTAAATTAAAAAAAAGTGTTAATGTGAGTGTGTGTGTGTCTGACTGTGTGTGTGTGTGTGTGTCTGTGTGTGTGTGTGTTTGTGTCTGACTGTGTGTGTGTGTCTGACTGTGTGTGTGTGTTTGTGTCTGACTGTGTGTGTGTGTCTGACTGTGTGTTTGTGTCTGACTGTGTGTGTTTGTGTCTGACTGTGTGTGTGTGTGTCTGACTGTGTGTGTGTCTGACTGTGTGTGTTTGTGTCTGACTGTGTGTGTGACTGAGTGTGTGTGTGTGTCTGACTGTGTGTGTGTTTGTGTCTGACTGTGTGTGTGTGTGTTTGTGTCTGACTGTGTGTGTGTGTGTGTCTGACTGTGTGTGTGTGTTTGTGTCTGTGTGTGTGTGTGTGTGTCTGACTGTGTGTGTTTGTGTCTTACTGTGTGTGTGTCTAATTGTGTGTGTGTCTGACTGTTTGTGTGTGTGTGTATATTTAGAAGATGGGGCAGGGGGGAAGGGTTGGGTGGGGGTGGCGCGGGGGGAGGTGAGTGCCTGAGTTTTGTCCTGCCTAGGGCAGCACAAAACCAGGATACACCACTGCTTGACACTCTTGACAAAGGATGGAGCTTAAAGCAAGTTTCACTCCTTGTTAGCTTAACAAAACAAGTGGACCTTGCCTTAAGCTCCACCATTTTGTCACAATTACTACTTTATCTTATGTTTACAAGAGAAAAAAAGAGCAGCACACATAGGACCCCATGTAACAAATTACCAAATGGTTTGACTACTTACATTTGGGGGAGGGGCTAAGGCACTCCTGGAAATGTGTTGTAGTGGTTATGGTGCTTGGAGTATTCATTTAAACTAAGCAGGATTGTAGCAAGCTCAGCTCTGCCCTGTGCTTTAAGAACCAACAGGTTCTAACTAAACTCTATTTCAGTCTCTAGACCTAAAACCAAACTCAGCAGAATCTTCCCAAAGTAAGTTAAACGCAATCGCAAAGATCTAAACGGACCTGAACTTCAGCTGCCACTATACAAATACATAAGGCTAAATTAATTTCCCTCCTGCTGAGCTCATCGGAATCGTGCAACTCTGTGAACTAACCATCTCATTAGCAGTTCCAACACATGAACAAACTGAAAGAGCAAACCTATTACCAAAGCGAGTAGTCCTGCTGTGAAAATGAGACTCTGGCCAGTACAAGCCAGTACTCACCAACACTTGATTGTAAGGAGAACAAAGTAACTTTTCAGGCAACTTTAACCATTATATTTAAATCCTTCTTTTTCTTTAATCTCAGCACTTGGTAGCACTTTTTATTTTTGTTACCACTATGGTTATTGATTTTAGGTGTTTATTAATTTACTTATAACTTTAGTAGGGAGAGTTGGTTCAGGTAGACACTAGTGGTTAGACCCCAGTGTCGAGGTAACTTTTAGGGTGAATTGAGAGATTTATTTATTTTGTGTGTGAGGCTTTTCATCTGCGTTTAGACCTGATTACCCGGTCCCTTGTTCTCTGGGGACTCTGTGCCTCTTCTAACCTTGTTTACACTACCTTCCTGTCAGTCGGACTCTGGGGGAACTGGAACTTAGATGCTAGCTAGTACTCCAGACAATTGATCCCCTGGGCACCATTTAGCAGATCTTCCTTTTTTTCAAATTATACTTTTTGTTTGCATATCCCTTTTTATCCTTAGATTGATTAAAGGTAGGGCCTCCCTTCCTCATTTCTTATACAGTGGAGCTCTCCTGATGTTGGTTTCCCCCCTGTGGGACTCTACACATCACCTACTCCTATTATTTAAATCCTTCTAGCCACAAATTAATGCTCAGATTTACCTAGTTGCAGTTTATTTTTTCTCCAGTGCATTATTATATTTTCTTTAAAATTGACATTTTAATATTTAAACCTTCTCTACTATGTTTTTTATGGAACTAGAGTTCCAACACAATGTTCTTTTTAAAGGATTACTCCAATCACATGACCATTTCAGTGATTTGAAGTGGCTGCCTGCCTTTGCTTTAAAACGCTACACATACAGAGATTAACCTCTTAGCTTCTGGAGGTGTAATGCCACCTCTGGCAGCGTCAAGGGGTGTCATCAGCCAGTTTGGAACTAGAGTTCCGGGGTCGCTAATGTAAATTCTATACAACATTCGTTGTACAGAATGTCAGTCATTGGTTGAGAGAAGCTTTGCAGAAGCCAGGAGCATCACTGGGAGCATTGGAGCTTGGCAGGGACTCAGGTAAGGCTTCATCTCTCATCATGATATTTAGCCGTACTTTCGGCACACAGATATTCCAACATAATAGTGATATAAATGGTGAGAGCACGCACAAAACCAGCATATATTATTACCCTTTTGTCAAAACATAGGGTAAAAACGTACAAAACGGTTTAAAATAGTGAATAAATGTATAAACTCACATATTTCTGAGCCACTTAATAAAAGCTAGCTCAGACTAAGAACTGACGCGTTTCAGCTTACAGCTTTTTTTCAAAGTGTGTCAACACACTTGAAAAAAGCTGTAAGCTAAAACGCGTCAGTGTATGGAGACTGCTGTAGCTGATTTGGATTTTTGCTGCTGTTTTTATCTTGTTAAATAAACCCTTTTTAATCAAGTACCTGCATCCTGGGCATTTTAAAGAAGGGGCAAGAAAACAGTCAGAATTTGTATCCAGCTTACACTACTCCTTATCCATTCTACGTTCTTAGTCTGAGCCAGCTTTTATTAAGTATTTTTTATTGTATTTTAACTTTTATATACACACTAGTTTATAGATATTCCAACATGTTTATAACTTCTAAGAAGCCGCGGGTTGACTGAGCCATTATCTACTGATAAAATTAATCCTGATAGAAGCTGTGTTTATTATAGCAACCTTAATCTCCTCAGACGATAGGTGCCCAGGAAGGCACAGCATAGGATACTATATCTTCTACAACACAACTCCAGATAATTGCTGCATAATAATTAGAAGCTTAGAAATTCAATTTTATTAGAAGATTAGCTACTTATTAAAAACACAGCTTATTTCATCTACCCTATACTAGCATCTCTATTAGACAGTCTTCTATCATTTGCATTAACACTATCTGGATCACTATCTCTCTAGATAATTAGCTAAAGTACTGGTTAATTAGCCCTTTACTATTTCTTTGAATATATCCTTAACTGTTAAGCAAACTCGACGACATTTGGGTATTACATTCAAAACTAGCTTGACTGATTGCCAGCACTAACGAACTTGACTAAAAGCTTACTCTAGCTTATAAACTAATCAGAATCTCGGCTATTTTAACAGTCACTTTAACACTTTAAAGGAACACTATAGGCACCCAGGCCACTTCAGATCAACGAAGTGGTCTGGGTGCCAGGTCCCTCTAGTTTTAACCCTGCAGCTGAAAACATAGCAGTTTCAGATAACCTGCTATGTTTACACTGAGGGTTAATCCAGCCTCTAGTGGCTGTCTCACTGACAGGCGCTAGAGGCGGTTCTCACCATGAAAATCACAGTGAGAAGACGCTGACGTCCATAGGAAAGCATTGATTAATGCTTTCCTATGGGCGGTTTGAATGCGCGGACAGCTCTTGCCGCGCATGCGTATTCGACGCTGACGTTGGCAGGAGGAGGAGAGGTCACCAGCCGGGGCTCTCTCGGCGCTGGAGTAAGGTAAGTGGCTAAAGGGGTTTTAACCCCTAAAATGGAGGGGGGCCGTGAGGGTGGGGGGGACCTAAGGACTACATAGTGCCAGGAAAACAAGTTTGTTTTCCTGGCACTATACTGGTTCTTTAATACCTAACTGGTTACTCTCAGGATAAGCAACACTTTGACACATATGTTGCCATCTTTGTTAAACAATCTGGCTGATTGCCAGCACTAGTGATCTTCATTTAGCTAGAGCTAATCTGTATATATAAAAAATTTTTCCCTTCCCCCTTTCTTTTTCCTTAAACTTTTTGTTTTATTAAGTTTCTCACAATACATATTATTTTTGATCTCTCTATTGTGTGATTAAAATTTTAGTTTTTTAAAATAACTTTAATAAAGGATAAAATACATTTGTAACTTATGTATACACTCAAGTGTTTGTGGGCAAAGTCTCCACTCTGTCAAAATAATTTTTACTGAGGGTTATTCCCTCCCTATGCCCTCATACAAAATCTATCGAGATCCCTGTATTTCCCTATTACAGGACTCAGGTAAGGGAACAAACCATTGCTAAACAGTTTGCCCCTTTACCGGGAAACCAGGTCAGGGTACTCTGAGCACTAGCCCACTGTTGTGGTTATGGTGCCGGAGTAACACTTTAATTATACTGATGTATTGGTCCTCAAAGAGATTGTTATAGAAAATATAAAAAATATGGATAGCTTCATAGTATAATTAATGTTACTTTGAAGGTCATAAATGTCATAAAAAATATGGAAAAAAAGAGAGGAGGGCACTTTAAGGACCCTAAGCAGTTTATATGGTTCACTGTAGTGGTTATGAGTCTAATTGTGGTATCTTTCTTCCGATTTTACATCAAACTGTTATGAAATTGTCTAAAAACTATCGTAGCTCTCACTGGCACATTATCAGGGTTATTTACTGAAGTTGATACATTGATACATGTGGCCCTTTGGCTGTTGAGAATTTTTCCAATTTAGCACTTTCAGCCTATAATTTTACATTTATTATTAATCAATGGCAATTCACGCTAATGAGTGACCCTATCATACAAATGTTTCCAGCCTTGCATGGCAATAATGTTAGCTGCAGCAGAAACCTGGGCGATAGCATCCATTATCTCCTGGCACCGTAGCCACTGCAATTAATTGTAGTGGTTATGGTTCTTAGAGTGTCCCTTGAAAGGAACAGTCTAAACATCAAAATCAGTTAATCCTAATGAAGTTGTTTTGTGGCATAGATGCTACAGCTGCAGCCTTGCAAATGAAAACAGTGCCATTTCTGAGAATCAGCACTGTTTACATTTCACTAGGGGTCACTAGGGGCTTCCAAGAAAAGTAGAGTACATTAAATAGAGAAAAAAAACATTGGATTTGCAGATCGCAGCAGTTGCCATGTGTCCTCACTGTTTCCCTATGAGAAGCATCTAACTGAACAAAAACATCAAGATTGATGATCGGGCAGCCGTGAGGAGCCTCCCTCTGCGCAAGAACAAAAGTGAGCTTTAGGGCTTTTTTTTCCTATCAATTAAAAAAAATGTAATAGGAAGCCACTCCTCAGATGGCTGATAGAGGTGATTCCTGGGACAGTGCTGCACAGGGGGCTGCCATTCAGTGTCTCCACCCTCTGCATGGAGACACTGAACTTTCCTCATAGAGATACGTTAATTCAATGCATCTCAAAGAGGAGATGCTGATTGGCCACAGCTGTGTTTGACTTGTGCTGGCTCTGCCCCTGATATGCCTCCTTGGCAATCACAGCCAATCCAATGCTTTCCTACTGGAAAGCATTGTGAGTGGCTGAGAACACCACTTTTGATGATGTCAGCCAAGCAGGTAGATCAGGGGTAGAGCCAGCAACAGCAGACTAAAATAAAAGAAACATTTTGCTATATTTAGGGAGGGATCCAGGAGGGCTAGATGGTGTTAACACTTTAGGGTCAGGAAAATATGTTTGGGTTCCTGACCCTATAGTGTTCCTTTAATATTAGGAATAAAAGTTATGTTTGAAATTATTGGTAACATGACCCGTTCTTGGAATTCATTAGTTTCCTATTTTGTATTTAACATTGTTAAATACAAAATTCATATTTTTCCTTTCCTAGAACTTTTAATTTGGCTCTTCCTATTATGGTTCCAATTAACATATCCATTTAAAAAATATATATTTTAGTTTTTCTTTAAAGCAGATCTGTCACTTTCAGGGTCTTGGCAAAATTTTCCCTTGATGGAGACATTTCCAGTTAGAGTCCAGGGCCATGGGGTGCAGTAAAGGTTAGGTCTACCTACCTGATGCCTTCTTGACTCCAGAATGGCAGTGAGATCTCTCCTTAGATCAAGAAACGATTACTGCACAAATTTAAATTATGTTTTGGCAAGCATGGATCCAGTTGCTATTTAAACATCTGTACAGACTCTGATAAAACCAAGAAGTGACAGAGCTGCTTTAAGCTCAGGAGTGTTTACATTACTATTATATCTATATATATATATACACTGCATTTCGTTTCAGTTTTGCTTTCTAAAAAAAATGAATTTCATATTGTGACGTAATCATGTGCAGGAATGAGTGAACATATTTTTAAAAGGAGGAAACAGCAATTTTTTTTTTTGCCTGCTACAGGAGTTCTAATGAAGAAAAAAAAAGAATACTTTTAAGTTAACTATTTTTGCTATTATTTGTAATTGGACTAGTCAATATAACAGAAATTCTGGAAATCTGGGAAGGAAACTGAATTAACATATCTAAATTATTATATTGTACATTGTAGTGAATGGAGAGCATAACTGAAGAATTTAGACCAAAAATTGCTGATTTAAGAGCAGCTATGGTGCCAAGTTCCGAGTAAAAGACTAGCATCCAGGCTCGATTACGTATTAAAGAAATTGCTTGATTCCATCCAACCAACATTAAACCAATGTAGAAGTTGACAGTGCACTGAGGATGGGAGAGGGGGCAACAAGACAGACATTGTCTAAGACAGGGGTGTCCAAAAGGTAGATCCACATGTTTTAAAACTACAGCTTCCATGGTGCGTTCCCATTCTAAATGCATGCAAAGCACCATGGGAGTTGTAGTTCAACAGCATCTGGGGATCTACCTTTTGGGCACCCTTGGTCTAAGCTCTTACCCCCATGCACTGTAAGCTTCTGCATTGTTTTAATGCTGGTTGTATGGAACTGATCTGATCCAGTTTGGATCCTGGTCCTTTGGGGATGGGACCCGGCAATGTAGGTGCTCTTTCAGTGGGTAGAGAGCCCACCAACAGTAAGAAAATTTGGAATTCTAAATATCTCTATATCCATCTATAATTACAGCTTGGCTATTTTAAACCCAATTTTTACATTTGGATTAAAATTCACCACAAATCACCGTACAGTGATTGAACTCTAAGTGGGATATTCACTACAGTGAGAATGCAAAGTGAATTTCAAATTTAAGGTAATACATTTTGCAATAGTACTTCCTGCTTGCATCTGTGGTTTGTAGGGATCTAAATGTAAATCGCAAAACAAGTTTTTAAAGCCCTACAACAGTTGACCACAACATTCTCACTACTCAAAATAAAGCTGGCCAAGGATGATAGGACTTCTATATCAAAATCAGTTAAAGGCTCACAACTCTCCCAGTCCTGGAGTCAGGTTTGATTTAAAAGATATTAAATCCAAATCAATTGTATTGATACTAAATAATAGACTTAATTAAATCCATTGCTGGTATTACATTGCAATGTGGAGTTCAACATTAGCCCATTGTGTGCAGAGGGGTGCCCAATGCATTGTCTACCTATTTACTACAAATAGATAAAACCTCATTCATTATGTTGAAACTTAGTGCACGTGTCTAAGTACCTGGAATGGTTAAAAAAAAACAGCTCTGCTTCTGCCTGCATTCACCAGGAATTACAGACAGCAGCCCTGCTACACTGACCCTGCACTCTTACAGTCCTCAGAGCATGCTGTATTTGAATAGCCACAGAGTTAGCATATGGAGGACATACAGGAGAACAACATGGGTGACTTACAGGAGAAACAGCATGGGGGACTTACAGGGGGAACAGCATGGGGGCTATAAAGGAGAAGCTGCATGGGGGCCATGCAGGACGTGGAGAGGGGATACATCATGGAGGGACATGCAGCATGGGGGGACATGCAGGAGAAGCAGCATGGTGGGACATGCAGGAGAAGCAGCATGGGGGGACATGCAGGAGAAGCAGCATGGGGGGACATGCAGGAGAAGCAATATGGGGAGAAAATTTGTCTGGGGTTCAGGGAAAAAGAAAGAGATATTATGTTATCCTCTCATCGACGTGTTTGTCAGGTATAGCGGTGCCTGGTTGGTTTGTGTGGCTGACAGGAAGAGGTTATTATGTGGCTTGGATAGAGTAGGGGGTAACTGCAGGTAGGTACCTAAGAAGGGAACTCACAGTGCAGGTAGGTACAGGGAAGGGAGCTCACAGTGCAGATAGGGGAAGGGTCCTGTCAGTTCAGGTAGGTGAGGAGTACTAGAGAGAGCAGTCAGATAAGGGAAAGAATACTCACAGTACAGGGTCCTGTCAGTTCTGGTAGGTGAAGGGAAGGATACTCACAGGACAGGTAGGTACAAAGAAGGGAACTCACAGTGCAGATATGGGAAGGGTCCTGTCAGTTCTGGTACTCACAGGGCAGGTAGGTGAGGGGAAGGATACTCACAGGGCAGGTAGGTACAGGGAAGGGAGCTCACAGGACAGGTAGGTGAGGGGATGGATACTCACAGGACAGGTAGGTGAGGGGATGGATACTCACAGGGCAGGTAGGTTCAGGTGAAGAAGACTCAGTGCTGGCTGCTCACTGTGCATCCTGCCAGTCTCCCAGCCTTTACATAGCAGCTCGGCCAGGGGGTGTGCTCATGGCGTCACTGACTCACACTCTGCACACTGAGCTGTCATCATAGCTGTGAGAATAGTGAGAGATTGGGAAAACCCAGGCACTGCTCATATTACACACAGTGTATATTATGCCATGCTATATGTTACATAGTGTATACCAAGCTTTATATCATATAAACTGCTCATATTACACAGTGTATATTATACAATGCTATATAATATGTTACATAGTGTGTACAAAGCTTTATATCATATACACTGCTCATATTAAACAGTGTATATTATGCCATGCTATATAGTGGAAATTTTATTCATACCGTAATTTTCTTTTCCTGGCTATTATTCATGGCAGCATATACAAATGGGTTAGCTCCGCCTCTTACAGCCAATCAGGGACGTATTAGCTGCGATGCAAACAAGGCATTTGCATTGGGCGGCAATTTCCAGGGGGCGGCAAAAGACGCCGCCCCCAAATGCCTGGGCAAAAGCCTTGTTAGCCTGGCGGCTAACTACCAAGCAGGCTGGCGTCTAAGTAAGAATCCATGCAGGCAGCGCTGGCAAGGGATCACTGATTAGTGGGTTCTCTGCTCAGCTCCCTCGCGCGCCGCAGAGTGATGCCGGGAGCCGGAATATGACGTCATATTCCGGCTCCCGAGGGAGCTAAGCAGAGAGCTCACTAATAAGTGCTCCCTTGCCAGCACCACCCGCCCGCATGTGTTCTTACTTAGCCGCCCGCCTTCCTCCCTGCCTGTCAGAAGGGACCCCAGGTAGATTAGGTCCCCCCCCCTTATTAGTATTTAGGGCCCCCACCCACTGCTCAGGGGTGGGGGCCAGGGGGGAGGACATTAGGTCCCCCCCTTATTAGTATTTAGGGCCCCCACCCACCACTCAGGGGTGGGGGCTTGGGGGGACAATAGTTTAAAAGCCCCCACTCGCGCTCACTGCTCACCACAGGCTGCTCATAATAGACATGCCCCTACTCACAGTATAGCGAGTAGGGGCAAAATTTACTAATACTAAGTAATTTTTACTTAGTATTAGTGAATTTGGCTGAAAGAACAATTTAGGTCTTTCAGCCTTTTGGTAGATATCTCCCTAATACCGTGGGAATTAGGGAGTTATCTACTAAGCGGCTGCAAGAGAAGTCCCGAATTGCTGAAGAAGTCCCGAATTTCGGAATGCCGAACCAAACCTAAAATTTTCCCCATGCACATGCCTAATCATGGGAATGCCCAAGCTTCAAAGGGAGGGACAAAAAACGTAAATAACTGCCAATCAGATAATCAGAACAATTCAAAATAGATTAGAAGATTGAACTGAGTTAAGGACTTGACATCTAAATTGCGCATCATTGACTGCTTTAACACCTAGTATGTAATGTCGGACAAACATGTTCAAAGAGGTCCAAATGCCAGCTTTACAAAAATTGTAAGCATTGGAAGTCCAAGATGCTGCAACTGCATGAGTGGAGAGTGCCCTGATACCCTTCGGTACAGGTAGAGAATGGCATAGATAAGCTTTCACCAGGGCCAGACTGGAAATTTCCCGGTATCCCGGTGGGCCGCCGCACCTGGGGCTGGGCTGACAGCCCTATTCATCACTGGTCAGGCTCCTGTAATCCTGGCCGGCCATGTGCGAGCTGTGCGGCCACACAGGGCCCCATGGGAGCAGGGGGAGCCAGGCAACCGGCACAGCTCACAAAGGTAAGAAGCAGGTCAGTGTGTGTTTGTGTGACTGTCTGCCTGTGTGTGTGTGTGTGTGTATGACTGTCTGCATGTGTATCTGTGTGACTGTCTGCCTGTGTGTGTGTGTGTGACTATCTGCCTGTGTGTGTGACTGTCTGCATGTGTGTGTGTGGCTTGCTGTCTGTGTGTGTGTGTGCATCTGCTAGTGAGTGAGTGAGCTTGAGTTTGTGTGTGTGCCTGTTAGTGAGTGAGCTTGTATGTTTGTCAGTGAGCTTGTCTGTAGGGATCATGTGTGTGTGTGTTAGTGAGCTTGTCTGTAGGGAGATGGGTGTGTCTGTGGTGAGCATGTGTGTGCAGTGAGCTTGTCTGTAGTAAGCATGTGTATGATCGTGAGCTTGTCTGTAGTGACCATATGTGTGTCAGTGAGCTTGTTTGTATTACACAGCAGACCGGCCAACACACAGGAGGCAGAGGTAAACGTTTTCAAATTAGACGCTAGAGCACGGAGTATACCACAGGGAAAGAGACTTTCAAAACAGGAACATTCACATTACAAATGTTATCGCTGCGGAGCTGCTACACATGTTGCAATTACATGCAGATTCAAGGATGCCAAGTGTCATGCTTGTGGTAAAATGGGCCACCTACAAAGAGTGTGTAAATCTACAGCAGAGAGAGACAGAGCAAAGAATGCCTATAGAGTACAAATGCAGGAGTCTTCTGAGGATTCAGATGAACAATTTCCTGTCCGAAATTTAAAAAAATATAAAATAGGTTCTAATCTGGCTGCATTCACAGTTCAGGTTGTTGTAAATGGAAAGGAACTGACTATGGATTTGGACACAGGTGCAGCTGTATCAGTGATTTCTTTGACAGACTGGAAACGCCTTAACATACATAGGCCAATAATTCAGACAACAGCGAGACTGCAGACATATTCTAAAGAGCTGTTAATACCAGTGGGTTGTGTGAAAGTCACAGCTACATTCAACAAGTGTAAGAAGAAACTACCTCTATATATCTTAGAGAATGTAGGACCTCCACTTTTTGGTAGGGGGTGGATAAGGGCTCTCGGGATGCCTCAAGTGCATAAGTATCCATGTCATGTGTTGAATGAAAATCAGACCAGACTTGACTGGATTAGGGAATTACAGGAAAAGTATGCACCAGTGTTTGATGGCCAATTAGGGACTGTAAAGGGACAACAAGTTTCCTTAGAATTAAAGGAAGGAGCAACACCGAAATTTTTTAAAGCAAGAAGTGTGCCTTTTGCTCTAAGGGCTGGAGTGGAGGCAGAATTGAGGAGATTAGAGGAGCTGAATATCATCTCCCGGGTTCACAATAGTGAGTGGGCTTCGCTCATTGTTCCTGTGAGAAAACAAAATGGGGAGATACGGATTTGTGGGGATTTACGCATGGCTCTTAACACACAGCTTTAAAATAGATAAGTATCCCCTTCCTAGGGTAGATGATATTTTTGCATCATTGGCAGGTGGCCAGCAGTTCACCAAAATTGACTTGGTGAATGCATGCCTACAGTTATCTGTACATCCAGATTCTCGACCACTACTTACGATTAATACCCATCAGGGGCTATTCAGGTATAACCGTATAGTTTTTGGCATTTCACCTGCACCAGCTGTCTGGCAGCGAACAATGGACAAGCTGTTAGCTGGAATTCCTGGGACACAGTGCCTGTTAGATGACATGCTGGTGACGGGTAAATCAGAGGAGGAACATAAACAGAATATAGAAGCAGTTTTGCAAAGACTTATGGAATATGGATTGAAAGTGAATTTGGATAAATGCCAATTCATGCAGGATCGTCTTGAATTTTGTGCTCATGTAATAGACAAACATGGGCTGCATCCAACAGATGAGAAGGTCAAGGCATTACAGGATAATCCAACTCCACAAAATGTGACCCAACTAAGGTCCGATCTTGGTCTGTTAAATTATTACTGTACCCTTTAAATGGCACTGGACAGTAGCATGTGCTTCAGGTTTCCATAAGTCAAAAGAACTAGTGCGTAGTTCACGTCTTTTAGTACACTACGACTTGGAAAAGCCTGTTTCCATTGCTTGTGATGCATCACCTTATGGACTGGGAGCAGTCCTGTCTCATTCCATGGCTGATGGGACAGACAGGCCAGTGACTATTGCCTCTAGATCGCTCACAGCTGCAGAAAAAAACTATTCTTAAATAGATCAAGAGCCTCTGTCAATAGTATGGGCAGTAAAGAAATTCCATCTTTATATATATGGTCGACCCTTCACACTGCTTCCGGACCATAAACCTTTATTGACAATTTTTAACCCACAGAAAGGTATTTCAATCATGACAGCAGCAAGACTTCAGAGGTATTCCTTAACTCTGGAGGCTTATCAGTATCAGATACAATATCGTCCAAACGCTCTGCATTCTAATGCGGATGCATTCTCTAGACTTCCATTGAAAATGGATTCACAATTAACTACCACAGAAAGATCTACAGTATATTTTAGTGACGTGATAACAGCCAGAGAAATTGCACAGGAGACAACCAAGGACTCTTTGCTGAGGAAAATACTTGTTTTTGTACGCAAAGGTTGGCCACTAAAGACAATACATCTCAAGTCATTCCAAACAAGAGCTCAGGAGTTATCAATTCGAGATGGCTGCTTAGTCTGGGGAGAAAGGGTGGTTATTCCTTTTGTGTTACAACAACAGATTCTTGAAATTTTACATGCAGGTCATCCTGGCATAGTCCACGTGAAGCAGAAGGCAAGAGGTCATGAATGGTGGATAACCATTGATGAGGATATTGCCCGTTATGTTTCAGGTTGGACTGGTTGTGCACAAGCACAGCATGACTTGCCACATGGTGCCGTACAACCTTGGACCTGGCCTCTATCACCATGGCAGAGAATTCACATAGACTTTGCTGGACCAGTGGAAAATAAAATGTATCTGATTGTGGTAGATGCACATTCTAAATGGCCAGAAGTTCTATTCATGTCGCAGACCACTGCAGAAGCTACTGTTAAAGCATTACAGAAACTATTTGCAACATTTGGCTTGCCCAGAGTGCTTGTTTCAGATAATGGACCGCAGTTTGTTTCTGGACAATTTCAGGCTTTTCTCAAGGAAAACGGTATTCGGCATCATCGTACAGCACCGTATTATCCTGCTACTAATGGTCAAGCAGAACATTTTGTTCAAACGTTAAAGGGTTTTCTGAGAAGTCTGAAAGCAGAAGGAAAGAGACCTGAACATCATTTGTCTGAGTTCCTTCTACAGTATCGAAATACACCTCATCCAACCACTGGACAACCTCCAACATGCCTTATGTTAGGTCGTGAACTCAGGACAAAGTTGGATATGCTAAAACCAGAGATTCAACAAAG